TGATCTACAGGATAGGGGGGTTGACCAGTTCACTCCTGCGAGTCAGCGGGTGACCCACTGTACGTGTGCTCGGACGGGCCGACACTTGGCCACGTTTACCCGTCAGCCGGGGTCGAGCCTGTACACACTGACTACTGAGTCTCCTCCGGTTGCTGAGTCTGGTCAGGTAGCTGAGTCGGGTCAGGTGTTTGCTGCGGCGTCCAGGTCTGGTCCTGAGTCTGCTCCCTGCTCGTGTCGTCTCCTGTCCCACCGGACTCTCCTCTGGCACCACCGCCTCAAGGCGACTCCCACCACGGCCACCCCTACAACCCCAACTAGCGTACCATTCACGAAGCTGCTGGGGCGTGAGGGACTCACGCGGACGTCGCTGGAGCTGCATCTGGCCACCGCCAGGAGCAGCAGTAGCAGTAGTAGCAGTAGCAGCAGCAGTAGCAGCAGAAACAGTAGTAGCAGCAGTAGCAACAGTAGCAGCAGTAGCAGCAGTAGTAGCGCGGCCACCCCTACAACCCCAACTAGCGTACCACTCACGAAGCTGCTGGGGCGTGAGGGACTCACGCGGACGTCATTGGAGCTGTATCTGGCCACCGTCAGGAGCAGCAGTAGTAGTAGTAGCAGTAGCAGCAGAAGTAGCAGCAGAAACAGTAATAGCAGCACGGGCAGGGCAGTGTGGCAGCGCGCTAGTAAGGCAGGTGCGCGGGAAGCGCGGGTAGGGCAAGTGCTCACCAGTGGCGGGAAGGGCAGTCGCTTGCCGGGCGAGCAGGGTAGGCGCACGACGGCGGTGACGGCGGGGCCGGGACAGCTGCACGGCGGGTCCGCGACAGCGGCAGGGGGCTCCGCGGCAGCTGCTGCAGGGCGGGGCCGCGACTGCTGCAAGCGGCTCCGCGGCAGCTGTAGCAGGGCGGGACCGCGACGGCGGCAGGGGGCTCCGCGGCAGCTGCTGCAGGGCGGGGCCGCGACCGTTGCAGGCGGCTCCGCGGCAGCTGCTGTAGGGCGGGGCTGCGACGGCGGCAGGGGGCTCCGCGGCAGCTGCTCCAGGGCGGGGCTCCGAGGCAGCTGCTGCAGGGGGCGCCGCGACGAGTAGGGGCGACGCCCCGGGGGCGCCGCGACGAGCAGGGAAGGCGCCCCGGGGGCGCCGCGACGAACAGGAACGGCGCCCAGGGGGCGCCGCAACGAGCAGGGGCGACGCCCCGGGGGCGTCGCGACGAGCAGGGACGGCGCCCAAGGGGCGCCGCGACGAGCAGGGGCGACGCCCCGGGGGCGCCACGACGAGTAGGGACGGCGCCCAGGGGGCGCCGCGACGAGCAGGGGGGGGACGCCGCGCGGGTCCCGCAGGGGCGTCGCGACGAGCACGGTTTAGGGCGGCGCGCGGGCTGCAGAGGCAGCTCCCACGGGCTGCAGAGGCAGGCACGGCTGCAGGGGCAGCGCCCACAGGCTGTAGGGGCAGGCACGGCTGCAGAGGCAGCGCCCATGGGCTGCAGGGGCAGGCACAGCTGCTCGGGAGGGCGTCGCGCGGGCTGCAGGGGCAGCTCCCACGGGCTGCAGAGGCAGGCACGTCTGCAGGGGCAGGCACGGCTGCAGGGGCAGGCACGGCTGTAGGGGCAGCACGGTCGCAGGGGCAGCACGCGGGCTGCAAGGGCAGCGCGGCTGCAGGGGCAGCAAAAAAAAAAATATCAGTTAGGGCAGGGCGGAACCTTCGGTGGGCCCTAGGAACGATTCTGCTCTAATACCATGTGAGAACAAGAACGAGGAATGAATGAACTAGCAAGCAGGTGGGTACAAGTATGAAAACCTAAAAGAGTTGTACCCCATATTGTCTACCCCACTGCAGCCTATAATATAGTTCTGACACGGAGAGGAATATGGTGACGAAGATATCTTCGGCGATATAATTTCTTAGCTTAAATAGTTGGTCGCGAATATTGCGGCAACGATTGATGCATGAGTTGGCCTTTTCCCCGAGGGCCATCTTAACTTCCATGAGTAGCAGTAGTAGGCGACTTGAGGAATCGGAGCCCTTAGGCTGATATAGTTACATGAGATAGCTCAAGACCTTCATCGCGGGGGCAGGGTCGGTTTAAACAAGCGTATGTCGAGTTCTTCGGTCGGCGACATATTGGAAAGGAGAACGATATATGCCATGAGAGATTCAGTGTACGTGTTTGTCGGAAAGCTCTTGAGCAGAGGAGTCATTTTAGATATCTGCTCAAGCAGAAGAAAAATCACACACACTCAGAGAATCCAAACCACACCGAACACAAATTATTGCACACGCTCACACCACACATGCAACGCACGAACATATGATGTGAGGCAGACATACGTGAATGCAAATGATGTTAGAAACTAACGAGCAGGAATGGATGAACTAGCAGCAAGATGGGTACAAGTAGGAAACCCTAATTGGGTTGTACCCCATATAGGCTACCCCACTATAGCCTACACAATAAGCAGCATAAAAGTTTGACAAATGATAGTATCACATAACAATCGTATACTCCCGTCACACTCGTTGGCCAAAATTTTCTTCATCAAAAAGCTCAAAAACTGGCAAAGTCCTCACTACGGAGACACTCAGTCATACACCACGTCAAGCATCAAATGTGCTCGAAAACTGGCTAAGGCCTTTCCACAGAGACACTTGCATATACACCGCGTCAAGCATAGGATGTGCGTGAAAACAGGCTAAGTCCTTTCCACGGCGACACTCACACAGATTGGACAGCTGAAGCGTAGTTTTTTTTCTTTCACCCAGCCATACCAGACCAGAAATTATTCAACACCCTGCCATTTCTCTGGAACGACGTGGCCGCCTCACTGCAGTGGCAGTGTGACTTTGACCTGGAACTTTGATTTGGCAGGGTGGCCCAAAACGAATCAAGACCCCTAGGGAGGACCGCTGTGCGAGCGAGGGAGTTAGGGAAAGGGCCGGGCTGGAGTTGGTAGGGTGGCTGGGCTGGTAGAGGCGAATGGGACGTAGCGCTAGGCTGGCGGGCGTTTGGGGGGAGGGGGCTTAGCTGGGCTGGTAGAAACGAGGCGGACTTTGTGTTAGTAGAGTAAACTACGAAATTCAGCCAGCGAGACAAGGAGAAATATTACACGTGCAGTTACAGGCACCAGCTGCCAGAACTAACACCTATGGCTACGGGGACAAAATTGTCGGTATCAGATGAAATGAAACCCGTTATCTGAAATTTCAGACGAAATATAATTCGTACGGTACTATGAAACTTCAGACGAAATAAAATTACTTGTCTTATGGATCAGACGAAATAAAAAGAACAGTCTTATAAATCAGATGATAGCAAAAATGAAGGTCTGAGAATCAGACCATCAGACCAATTTGGTCTGATAACGAGAGCCCTGCCTCCGATACTTCTGCCTCTAACTGTTTTCGATAATCGTTATTGTCGCTCGGTCTTCGTCCTCGCTTTATTTATCTTCGCGTTTCAGAATTGTTACTTCAGGAATGCTATTCAACGATTTCATGTCATTACACATTGTATCATTTGTCCATTTGGTGCAATCCTGTTTGCTCTTTAGAGTGTACTTGCTTGTCAAATTTTCCTTTCTATACATGTAGTTGTAGAGCTGTAGGCTGATGCCCATAATGAGTGTGAATGGACCCCCCGTCATTGCAAGTCAAATCCTCCTGGGGCTCGGCTGTAGGGGCTGGCATCGGGATTGCCGAGTTCTCAGGCTGTCATCAGCCTCGAAGCCTCAGACGACTCTGCTTCACTCGGACGACGCGATCGGGCTCGCGCTGGGGATCGCGATCACACAGCATAGAATGATTGGGATATTTCTGCGAGTTCTGCTGAGCTGGCGGAGGAGGTTGGGGACCGTGCATGGCGCTCGTGATAAGCCAGGCTCGAAAGTCGCAATACACGGGGCGTACGCTTCCGGATTGCACTGCGGGAAAGCGGGTTTCGAGGCGCCTGAATGCGAGAAAGTCGCGGCGAGTGCGGTGGAATGGCGGCCGCGTGGATCGCTTTTGTGAATTCTCAACCGCGGCCGTGGATCGTCGGATGTGTGGCAGGGCTTCTGGTGCTTCTCGTTGTCGTGCTGTGCTTGCTCGGTACTAACCAAGTGAGCGCACCTGTGCTACTTGATAAAGTAGCCACCGAGATGGAATCGGCTGAACTCTCCTGTTACCTGAAATGTTCCCCACACCCACCTCTCCTGCCATCCTTGGTCCGTTCCCGAACCTCAGGCTCGGCTGGACGGCGTCGAGCTTCAGAAGTTCTCCCCGCTGGAGGGGCTGCCGGCAGTGGAGTGGGAGGAGGCGCCCCCACGGCCGGGGTGCATTCTGACTCTCGACTCGCGCTACAGCCCTGAGGGCGTGGCGGCCGTGGAAGCGGCTGTAGCGCGGCTGCTGAGGGAGCTGGGGAGGGAGGCGGCGGAGGTGGGGGGAGGGGGGAGAGGTGGAGAAGGGGGCAGGAGAGAAGGGTGGTGGGGAGAAGGGTTAGTTGGAGAGGGGGTAAGGGGAGTGGGGTTAGGCGGAGAAAGGATGGGGGGAGAGGAGATAGAACGAGAGGTTGCAGCGGCTGGGTTGGGCGATGGGGGACAAGGGCGGCGAGGGGGGATGGGGGGACGGGTTGAGGGGGAGGTGGAGGAGGGGGAGGTGAGGGGGAGGAGGGCGAGGGATGGGAAGGGTAGATACCTGAAGGAAGGAGCGGGAGAGTGGGAGGGAAGGTGGCATGGAGGATGGAGGGGGAGGCGGCTGAAGGGAGGAGAAGAGGAGGGCAAGGGGGAAGGGGAGGGGGAGGGGGGGCTGAAGGTGGAGGTTAAGAATGCGGAGGGGGGGAAGGGGGAGGGCGAGAGTGAGATGAAGGTGGAGGGGACGGATGAGGGGAAAGTGGAGGGGACGGATGAGGGGAAGGTGGAGGGGACGGATGAGGGGAAGGTGGAGGGGACGGACGAGGGGAAGGTGGAGGGGACGGATGAGGGGAAGGTGGAGGGGACGGATGAGGGGAAGGTGGAGGGGGCTGGATGAGGGTGAGGGCTCAAAGGTGAAGGAAGAAGGGGGAGGGAGGGGCGGAGAGGCGATGGCGGAGGTGTGGCGGCGGCTCTACTCGGGATTGCCCAAGGTGGTGGATGCGGAGGGGCACGAGAACATGTGGAAATTCCCCATCTGGGTCGCCCTGGCCGTAGGCATGTGCGTGCGTGCTGCAGGAGGCATGTGCGTGCGTGCTGCAGTAGGCATGTGCGTGCGTGCTGCAGGAGGCATGTGCGTGCGTGCTGCAGTAGGCATGTGCGTGCGTGCTGCAGTAGGCATGTGCGTGCGTGCTGCAGTAGGCATGTGCGTGCGTGCTGCAGTAGGCATGTGCGTGCGTGCTGCAGTAGGCATGTGCGTGCGTGCTGCAGTAGGCATGTGCGTGCGTGCTGCAGTAGGCATGTGCGTGCGTGCTGCAGTAGGCATGTGCGTGCGTGCTGCAGTAGGCATGTGCGTGCGTGCTGCAGTAGGCATGTGCGTGCGTGCTGCAGTAGGCATGTGCGTGCGTGCTGCAGTAGGCATGTGCGTGCGTGCTGCAGTAGGCATGTGCGTGCGTGCTGCAGTAGGCATGTGCGTGCGTGCTGCAGTAGGCATGTGCGTGCGTGCTGCAGTAGGCATGTGCGTGCGTGCTGCAGTAGGCATGTGCGTGCGTGCTGCAGTAGGCATGTGCGTGCGTGCTGCAGTAGGCATGTGCGTGCGTGCTGCAGTAGGCATGTGCGTGCGTGCTGCAGTAGGCATGTGCGTGCGTGCTGCAGTAGGCATGTGCGTGCGTGCTGCAGTAGGCATGTGCGTGCGTGCTGCAGTAGGCATGTGCGTGCGTGCTGCAGTAGGCATGTGCGTGCGTGCTGCAGTAGGCATGTGCGTGCGTGCTGCAGTAGGCATGTGCGTGCGTGCTGCAGTAGGCATGTGCGTGCGTGCTGCAGTAGGCATGTGCGTGCGTGCTGCAGTAGGCATGTGCGTGCGTGCTGCAGTAGGCATGTGCAGTAGGCATGTGCGTGCGTGCTGCAGTAGGCATGTGCGTGCGTGCTGCAGTAGGCATGTGCGTGCGTGCTGCAGTAGGCATGTGCGTGCGTGCTGCAGTAGGCATGTGCGTGCGTGCTGCAGTAGGCATGTGCGTGCGTGCTGCAGTAGGCATGTGCGTGCGTGCTGCAGTAGGCATGTGCGTGCGTGCTGCAGTAGGCATGTGCGTGCGTGCTGCAGTAGGCATGTGCGTGCGTGCTGCAGTAGGCATGTGCGTGCGTGCTGCAGTAGGCATGTGCGTGCGTGCTGCAGTAGGCATGTGCGTGCGTGCTGCAGTAGGCATGTGCGTGCGTGCTGCAGTAGGCATGTGCGTGCGTGCTGCAGTAGGCATGTGCGTGCGTGCTGCAGTAGGCATGTGCGTGCGTGCTGCAGTAGGCATGTGCGTGCGTGCTGCAGTAGGCATGTGCGTGCGTGCTGCAGTAGGCATGTGCGTGCGTGCTGCAGTAGGCATGTGCGTGCGTGCTGCAGTAGGCATGTGCGTGCGTGCTGCAGTAGGCATGTGCGTGCGTGCTGCAGTAGGCATGTGCGTGCGTGCTGCAGTAGGCATGTGCGTGCGTGCTGCAGTAGGCATGTGCGTGCGTGCTGCAGTAGGCATGTGCGTGCGTGCTGCAGTAGGCATGTGCGTGCGTGCTGCAGTAGGCATGTGCGTGCGTGCTGCAGTAGGCATGTGCGTGCGTGCTGCAGTAGGCATGTGCGTGCGTGCTGCAGTAGGCATGTGCGTGCGTGCTGCAGTAGGCATGTGCGTGCGTGCTGCAGTAGGCATGTGCGTGCGTGCTGCAGTAGGCATGTGCGTGCGTGCTGCAGTAGGCATGTGCGTGCGTGCTGCAGTAGGCATGTGCGTGCGTGCTGCAGTAGGCATGTGCGTGCGTGCTGCAGTAGGCATGTGCGTGCGTGCTGCAGTAGGCATGTGCGTGCGTGCTGCAGTAGGCATGTGCGTGCGTGCTGCAGTAGGCATGTGCGTGCGTGCTGCAGTAGGCATGTGCGTGCGTGCTGCAGTAGGCATGTGCGTGCGTGCTGCAGTAGGCATGTGCGTGCGTGCTGCAGTAGGCATGTGCGTGCGTGCTGCAGTAGGCATGTGCGTGCGTGCTGCAGTAGGCATGTGCGTGCGTGCTGCAGTAGGCATGTGCGTGCGTGCTGCAGTAGGCATGTGCGTGCGTGCTGCAGTAGGCATGTGCGTGCGTGCTGCAGTAGGCATGTGCGTGCGTGCTGCAGTAGGCATGTGCGTGCGTGCTGCAGTAGGCATGTGCGTGCGTGCTGCAGTAGGCATGTGCGTGCGTGCTGCAGTAGGCATGTGCGTGCGTGCTGCAGTAGGCATGTGCGTGCGTGCTGCAGTAGGCATGTGCGTGCGTGCTGCAGTAGGCATGTGCGTGCGTGCTGCAGTAGGCATGTGCGTGCGTGCTGCAGTAGGCATGTGCGTGCGTGCTGCAGTAGGCATGTGCGTGCGTGCTGCAGTAGGCATGTGCGTGCGTGCTGCAGTAGGCATGTGCGTGCGTGCTGCAGTAGGCATGTGCGTGCGTGCTGCAGTAGGCATGTGCGTGCGTGCTGCAGTAGGCATGTGCGTGCGTGCTGCAGTAGGCATGTGCGTGCGTGCTGCAGTAGGCATGTGCGTGCGTGCTGCAGTAGGCATGTGCGTGCGTGCTGCAGTAGGCATGTGCGTGCGTGCTGCAGTAGGCATGTGCGTGCGTGCTGCAGTAGGCATGTGCGTGCGTGCTGCAGTAGGCATGTGCGTGCGTGCTGCAGTAGGCATGTGCGTGCGTGCTGCAGTAGGCATGTGCGTGCGTGCTGCAGTAGGCATGTGCGTGCGTGCTGCAGTAGGCATGTGCGTGCGTGCTGCAGTAGGCATGTGCGTGCGTGCTGCAGTAGGCATGTGCGTGCGTGCTGCAGTAGGCATGTGCGTGCGTGCTGCAGTAGGCATGTGCGTGCGTGCTGCAGTAGGCATGTGCGTGCGTGCTGCAGTAGGCATGTGCGTGCGTGCTGCAGTAGGCATGTGCGTGCGTGCTGCAGTAGGCATGTGCGTGCGTGCTGCAGTAGGCATGTGCGTGCGTGCTGCAGTAGGCATGTGCGTGCGTGCTGCAGTAGGCATGTGCGTGCCGTGCTGCAGTAGGCATGTGCGTGCGTGCTGCAGTAGGCATGTGCGTGCGTGCTGCAGTAGGCATGTGCGTGCGTGCTGCAGTAGGCATGTGCGTGCGTGCTGCAGTAGGCATGTGCGTGCGTGCTGCAGTAGGCATGTGCGTGCGTGCTGCAGTAGGCATGTGCGTGCGTGCTGCAGTAGGCATGTGCGTGCGTGCTGCAGTAGGCATGTGCGTGCGTGCTGCAGTAGGCATGTGCGTGCGTGCTGCAGTAGGCATGTGCGTGCGTGCTGCAGTAGGCATGTGCGTGCGTGCTGCAGTAGGCATGTGCGTGCGTGCTGCAGTAGGCATGTGCGTGCGTGCTGCAGTAGGCATGTGCGTGCGTGCTGCAGTAGGCATGTGCGTGCGTGCTGCAGTAGGCATGTGCGTGCGTGCTGCAGTAGGCATGTGCGTGCGTGCTGCAGTAGGCATGTGCGTGCGTGCTGCAGTAGGCATGTGCGTGCGTGCTGCAGTAGGCATGTGCGTGCGTGCTGCAGTAGGCATGTGCGTGCGTGCTGCAGTAGGCATGTGCGTGCGTGCTGCAGTAGGCATGTGCGTGCGTGCTGCAGTAGGCATGTGCGTGCGTGCTGCAGTAGGCATGTGCGTGCGTGCTGCAGTAGGCATGTGCGTGCGTGCTGCAGTAGGCATGTGCGTGCGTGCTGCAGTAGGCATGTGCGTGCGTGCTGCAGTAGGCATGTGCGTGCGTGCTGCAGTAGGCATGTGCGTGCGTGCTGCAGTAGGCATGTGCGTGCGTGCTGCAGTAGGCATGTGCGTGCGTGCTGCAGTAGGCATGTGCGTGCGTGCTGCAGTAGGCATGTGCGTGCGTGCTGCAGTAGGCATGTGCGTGCGTGCTGCAGTAGGCATGTGCGTGCGTGCTGCAGTAGGCATGTGCGTGCGTGCTGCAGTAGGCATGTGCGTGCGTGCTGCAGTAGGCATGTGCGTGCGTGCTGCAGTAGGCATGTGCGTGCGTGCTGCAGTAGGCATGTGCGTGCGTGCTGCAGTAGGCATGTGCGTGCGTGCTGCAGTAGGCATGTGCGTGCGTGCTGCAGTAGGCATGTGCGTGCGTGCTGCAGTAGGCATGTGCGTGCGTGCTGCAGTAGGCATGTGCGTGCGTGCTGCAGTAGGCATGTGCGTGCGTGCTGCAGTAGGCATGTGCGTGCGTGCTGCAGTAGGCATGTGCGTGCGTGCTGCAGTAGGCATGTGCGTGCGTGCTGCAGTAGGCATGTGCGTGCGTGCTGCAGTAGGCATGTGCGTGCGTGCTGCAGTAGGCATGTGCGTGCGTGCTGCAGTAGGCATGTGCGTGCGTGCTGCAGTAGGCATGTGCGTGCGTGCTGCAGTAGGCATGTGCGTGCGTGCTGCAGTAGGCATGTGCGTGCGTGCTGCAGTAGGCATGTGCGTGCGTGCTGCAGTAGGCATGTGCGTGCGTGCTGCAGTAGGCATGTGCGTGCGTGCTGCAGTAGGCATGTGCGTGCGTGCTGCAGTAGGCATGTGCGTGCGTGCTGCAGTAGGCATGTGCGTGCGTGCTGCAGTAGGCATGTGCGTGCGTGCTGCAGTAGGCATGTGCGTGCGTGCTGCAGTAGGCATGTGCGTGCGTGCTGCAGTAGGCATGTGCGTGCGTGCTGCAGTAGGCATGTGCGTGCGTGCTGCAGTAGGCATGTGCGTGCGTGCTGCAGTAGGCATGTGCGTGCGTGCTGCAGTAGGCATGTGCGTGCGTGCTGCAGTAGGCATGTGCGTGCGTGCTGCAGTAGGCATGTGCGTGCGTGCTGCAGTAGGCATGTGCGTGCGTGCTGCAGTAGGCATGTGCGTGCGTGCTGCAGTAGGCATGTGCGTGCGTGCTGCAGTAGGCATGTGCGTGCGTGCTGCAGTAGGCATGTGCGTGCGTGCTGCAGTAGGCATGTGCGTGCGTGCTGCAGTAGGCATGTGCGTGCGTGCTGCAGTAGGCATGTGCGTGCGTGCTGCAGTAGGCATGTGCGTGCGTGCTGCAGTAGGCATGTGCGTGCGTGCTGCAGTAGGCCATGTGCGTGCGTGCTGCAGTAGGCATGTGCGTGCGTGCTGCAGTAGGCATGTGCGTGCGTGCTGCAGTAGGCATGTGCGTGCGTGCTGCAGTAGGCATGTGCGTGCGTGCTGCAGTAGGCATGTGCGTGCGTGCTGCAGTAGGCATGTGCGTGCGTGCTGCAGTAGGCATGTGCGTGCGTGCTGCAGTAGGCATGTGCGTGCGTGCTGCAGTAGGCATGTGCGTGCGTGCTGCAGTAGGCATGTGCGTGCGTGCTGCAGTAGGCATGTGCGTGCGTGCTGCAGTAGGCATGTGCGTGCGTGCTGCAGTAGGCATGTGCGTGCGTGCTGCAGTAGGCATGGCATGTGCGTGCGTGCTGCAGTAGGCATGTGCGTGCGTGCTGCAGTAGGCATGTGCGTGCGTGCTGCAGTAGGCATGTGCGTGCGTGCTGCAGTAGGCATGTGCGTGCGTGCTGCAGTAGGCATGTGCGTGCGTGCTGCAGTAGGCATGTGCGTGCGTGCTGCAGTAGGCATGTGCGTGCGTGCTGCAGTAGGCATGTGCGTGCGTGCTGCAGTAGGCATGTGCGTGCGTGCTGCAGTAGGCATGTGCGTGCGTGCTGCAGTAGGCATGTGCGTGCGTGCTGCAGTAGGCATGTGCGTGCGTGCTGCAGTAGGCATGTGCGTGCGTGCTGCAGTAGGCATGTGCGTGCGTGCTGCAGTAGGCATGTGCGTGCGTGCTGCAGTAGGCATGTGCGTGCGTGCTGCAGTAGGCATGTGCGTGCGTGCTGCAGTAGGCATGTGCGTGCGTGCTGCAGTAGGCATGTGCGTGCGTGCTGCAGTAGGCATGTGCGTGCGTGCTGCAGTAGGCATGTGCGTGCGTGCTGCAGTAGGCATGTGCGTGCGTGCTGCAGTAGGCATGTGCGTGCGTGCTGCAGTAGGCATGTGCGTGCGTGCTGCAGTAGGCATGTGCGTGCGTGCTGCAGTAGGCATGTGCGTGCGTGCTGCAGTAGGCATGTGCGTGCGTGCTGCAGTAGGCATGTGCGTTGCGTGCTGCAGTAGGCATGTGCGTGCGTGCTGCAGTAGGCATGTGCGTGCGTGCTGCAGTAGGCATGTGCGTGCGTGCTGCAGTAGGCATGTGCGTGCGTGCTGCAGTAGGCATGTGCGTGCGTGCTGCAGTAGGCATGTGCGTGCGTGCTGCAGTAGGCATGTGCGTGCGTGCTGCAGTAGGCATGTGCGTGCGTGCTGCAGTAGGCATGTGCGTGCGTGCTGCAGTAGGCATGTGCGTGCGTGCTGCAGTAGGCATGTGCGTGCGTGCTGCAGTAGGCATGTGCGTGCGTGCTGCAGTAGGCATGTGCGTGCGTGCTGCAGTAGGCATGTGCGTGCGTGCTGCAGTAGGCATGTGCGTGCGTGCTGCAGTAGGCATGTGCGTGCGTGCTGCAGTAGGCATGTGCGTGCGTGCTGCAGTAGGCATGTGCGTGCGTGCTGCAGTAGGCATGTGCGTGCGTGCTGCAGTAGGCATGTGCGTGCGTGCTGCAGTAGGCATGTGCGTGCGTGCTGCAGTAGGCATGTGCGTGCGTGCTGCAGTAGGCATGTGCGTGCGTGCTGCAGTAGGCATGTGCGTGCGTGCTGCAGTAGGCATGTGCGTGCGTGCTGCAGTAGGCATGTGCGTGCGTGCTGCAGTAGGCATGTGCGTGCGTGCTGCAGTAGGCATGTGCGTGCGTGCTGCAGTAGGCATGTGCGTGCGTGCTGCAGTAGGCATGTGCGTGCGTGCTGCAGTAGGCATGTGCGTGCGTGCTGCAGTAGGCATGTGCGTGCGTGCTGCAGTAGGCATGTGCGTGCGTGCTGCAGTAGGCATGTGCGTGCGTGCTGCAGTAGGCATGTGCGTGCGTGCTGCAGTAGGCATGTGCGTGCGTGCTGCAGTAGGCATGTGCGTGCGTGCTGCAGTAGGCATGTGCGTGCGTGCTGCAGTAGGCATGTGCGTGCGTGCTGCAGTAGGCATGTGCGTGCGTGCTGCAGTAGGCATGTGCGTGCGTGCTGCAGTAGGCATGTGCGTGCGTGCTGCAGTAGGCATGTGCGTGCGTGCTGCAGTAGGCATGTGCGTGCGTGCTGCAGTAGGCATGTGCGTGCGTGCTGCAGTAGGCATGTGCGTGCGTGCTGCAGTAGGCATGTGCGTGCGTGCTGCAGTAGGCATGTGCGTGCGTGCTGCAGTAGGCATGTGCGTGCGTGCTGCAGTAGGCATGTGCGTGCGTGCTGCAGTAGGCATGTGCGTGCGTGCTGCAGTAGGCATGTGCGTGCGTGCTGCAGTAGGCATGTGCGTGCGTGCTGGCAGTAGGCATGTGCGTGCGTGCTGCAGTAGGCATGTGCGTGCGTGCTGCAGTAGGCATGTGCGTGCGTGCTGCAGTAGGCATGTGCGTGCGTGCTGCAGTAGGCATGTGCGTGCGTGCTGCAGTAGGCATGTGCGTGCGTGCTGGCAGTAGGCATGTGCGTGCGTGCTGCAGTAGGCATGTGCGTGCGTGCTGCAGTAGGCATGTGCGTGCGTGCTGCAGTAGGCATGTGCGTGCGTGCTGCAGTAGGCATGTGCGTGCGTGCTGCAGTAGGCATGTGCGTGCGTGCTGCAGTAGGCATGTGCGTGCGTGCTGCAGTAGGCATGTGCGTGCGTGCTGCAGTAGGCATGTGCGTGCGTGCTGCAGTAGGCATGTGCGTGCGTGCTGCAGTAGGCATGTGCGTGCGTGCTGCAGTAGGCATGTGCGTGCGTGCTGCAGTAGGCATGTGCGTGCGTGCTGCAGTAGGCATGTGCGTGCGTGCTGCAGTAGGCATGTGCGTGCGTGCTGCAGTAGGCATGTGCGTGCGTGCTTGCAGTAGGCAGTGCGTGCTGCAGTAGGCATGTGCGTGCGTGCTGCAGTAGGCATGTGCGTGCGTGCTGCAGTAGGCATGTGCGTGCGTGCTGCAGTAGGCATGTGCGTGCGTGCTGCAGTAGGCATGTGCGTGCGTGCTGCAGTAGGCATGTGCGTGCGTGCTGCAGTAGGCATGTGCGTGCGTGCTGCAGTAGGCATGTGCGTGCGTGCTGCAGTAGGCATGTGCGTGCGTGCTGCAGTAGGCATGTGCGTGCGTGCTGCAGTAGGCATGTGCGTGCGTGCTGCAGTAGGCATGTGCGTGCGTGCTGCAGTAGGCATGTGCGTGCGTGCTGCAGTAGGCATGTGCGTGCGTGCTGCAGTAGGCATGTGCGTGCGTGCTGCAGTAGGCATGTGCGTGCGTGCTGCAGTAGGCATGTGCGTGCGTGCTGCAGTAGGCATGTGCGTGCGTGCTGCAGTAGGCATGTGCGTGCGTGCTGCAGTAGGCATGTGCGTGCGTGCTGCAGTAGGCATGGCATGTGCGTGCGTGCTGCAGTAGGCATGTGCGTGCGTGCTGCAGTAGGCATGTGCGTGCGTGCTGCAGTAGGCATGTGCGTGCGTGCTGCAGTAGGCATGTGCGTGCGTGCTGCAGTAGGCATGTGCGTGCGTGCTGCAGTAGGCATGTGCGTGCGTGCTGCAGTAGGCATGTGCGTGCGTGCTGCAGTAGGCATGTGCGTGCGTGCTGCAGTAGGCATGTGCGTGCGTGCTGCAGTAGGCATGTGCGTGCGTGCTGCAGTAGGCATGTGCGTGCGTGCTGCAGTAGGCATGTGCGTGCGTGCTGCAGTAGGCATGTGCGTGCGTGCTGCAGTAGGCATGTGCGTGCGTGCTGCAGTAGGCATGTGCGTGCGTGCTGCAGTAGGCATGTGCGTGCGTGCTGCAGTAGGCATGTGCGTGCGTGCTGCAGTAGGCATGTGCGTGCGTGCTGCAGTAGGCATGTGCGTGCGTGCTGCAGTAGGCATGTGCGTGCGTGCTGCAGTAGGCATGTGCGTGCGTGCTGCAGTAGGCATGTGCGTGCGTGCTGCAGTAGGCATGTGCGTGCATGTCCCCCATTTGCATGGTTTTGGGCCATTTCCATTTTCTGGGCATTGCAGGGTTGCATTGCTTCAGGCCAGGACTCAGGAGCACTCAGGGGAGAGGTCGGTCGCGCGACCTGCAGTCCAAATGCACTTTTGCAGGGAGAATAGATCTGATGTATGCATGGCAGTGTGTGGTTGGTTGCGACTGAGACTGCGATGAAGATTTGCCTTTCGCCGAGGCAAGAAGAGCGGGAGGTTGGATGACGCGGCAAAGGCAAGGAGGGATTGTGGGACAATCACTGCAGCACACTCCACAAGTGATACAGTTCCGTACATTGGAAAGCGGGCAGCGTAAGCATGTGCGTGCGTGCTGCAGTAGGCATGTGCGTGCGTGCTGCAGTAGGCATGTGCGTGCGTGCTGCAGTAGGCATGTGCGTGCGTGCTGCAGTAGGCATGTGCGTGCGTGCTGCAGTAGGCATGTGCGTGCGTGCTGCAGTAGGCATGTGCGTGCGTGCTGCAGTAGGCATGTGCGTGCGTGCTGCAGTAGGCATGTGCGTGCGTGCTGCAGTAGGCATGTGCGTGCGTGCTGCAGTAGGCATGTGCGTGCGTGCTGCAGTAGGCATGTGCGTGCGTGCTGCAGTAGGCATGTGCGTGCGTGCTGCAGTAGGCATGTGCGTGCGTGCTGCAGTAGGCATGTGCGTGCGTGCTGCAGTAGGCATGTGCGTGCGTGCTGCAGTAGGCATGTGCGTGCGTGCTGCAGTAGGCATGTGCGTGCGTGCTGCAGTAGGCATGTGCGTGCGTGCTGCAGTAGGCATGTGCGTGCGTGCTGCAGTAGGCATGTGCGTGCGTGCTGCAGTAGGCATGTGCGTGCGTGCTGCAGTAGGCATGTGCGTGCGTGCTGCAGTAGGCATGTGCGTGCGTGCTGCAGTAGGCATGTGCGTGCGTGCTGCAGTAGGCATGTGCGTGCGTGCTGCAGTAGGCATGTGCGTGCGTGCTGCAGTAGGCATGTGCGTGCGTGCTGCAGTAGGCATGTGCGTGCGTGCTGCAGTAGGCATGTGCCGTGCGTGCTGCAGTAGGCATGTGCGTGCGTGCTGCAGTAGGCATGTGCGTGCGTGCTGCAGTAGGCATGTGCGTGCGTGCTGCAGTAGGCATGTGCGTGCGTGCTGCAGTAGGCATGTGCGTGCGTGCTGCAGTAGGCGTGTGCGTGCGTGCTGCAGTAGGCATGTGCGTGCGTGCTGCAGTAGGCATGTGCGTGCGTGCTGCAGTAGGCATGTGCGTGCGTGCTGCAGTAGGCATGTGCGTGCGTGCTGCAGTAGGCATGTGCGTGCGTGCTGCAGTAGGCATGTGCGTGCGTGCTGCAGTAGGCATGTGCGTGCGTGCTGCAGTAGGCATGTGCGTGCGTGCTGCAGTAGGCATGTGCGTGCGTGCTGCAGTAGGCATGTGCGTGCGTGCTGCAGTAGGCATGTGCGTGCCGTGCTGCAGTAGGCATGTGCGTGCGTGCTGCAGTAGGCAATGTGCGTGCGTGCTGCAGTAGGCATGTGCGTGCGTGCTGCAGTAGGCATGTGCGTGCGTGCTGCAGTAGGCATGTGCGTGCGTGCTGCAGTAGGCATGTGCGTGCGTGCTGCAGTAGGCATGTGCGTGCGTGCTGCAGTAGGCATGTGCGTGCGTGCTGCAGTAGGCATGTGCGTGCGTGCTGCAGTAGGCATGTGCGTGCGGTGCTGCAGTAGGCATGTGCGTGCGTGCTGCAGTAGGCATTGCGTGCGTGCTGCAGTAGGCATGTGCGTGCGTGCTGCAGTAGGCATGTGCGTGCGTGCTGCAGTAGGCATGTGCGTGCGTGCTGCAGTAGGCATGTGCGTGCGTCGTGCTGCAAAGTAGGCATGTGCGTGCGTGCTGCAGTAGGCATGTGCGTGCGTGCTGCAGTAGGCATGTGCGTGCGTGCTGCAGTAGGCATGTGGCGTGCGTGCTGCAGTAGGCATGTGCGTGCGTGCTGCAGTAGCATGTGCGTGCGTGCTGCAGTAGGCATGTGCGTGCGTGCTGCAGTAGGCATGTGCCGTGCGTGCTGCAGTAGGCATGTGCGTGCGTGCTGCAGTAGGCATGTGCGTGCGTGCTGCAGTAGGCATGTGCGTGCGTGCTGCAGTAGGCATGTGCGTGCGTGCTGCAGTAGGCATGTGCGTGCGTGCTGCAGTAGGCATGTGCGTGCGTGCTGCAGTAGGCATGTGCGTGCGTGCTGCAGTAGGCATGTGCGTGCGTGCTGCAGTAGGCATGTGCGTGCGTGCTGCAGTAGGCATGTGCGTGCGTGCTGCAGTAGGCATGTGCGTGCGTGCTGCAGTAGGCATGTGCGTGCGTGCTGCAGTAGGCATGTGCGTGCGTGCTGCAGTAGGCCATGTGCGTGCGTGCTGCAGTAGGCATGTGCGTGCGTGCTGCAGTAGGCATGTGCGTGCGTGCTGCAGTAGGCATGTGCGTGCGTGCTGCAGTAGGCATGTGCGTGCGTGCTGCAGTAGGCATGTGCGTGCGTGCTGCAGTAGGCATGTGCGTGCGTGCTGCAGTAGGCATGTGCGTGCGTGCTGCAGTAGGCATGTGCGTGCGTGCTGCAGTAGGCATGTGCGTGCGTGCTGCAGTAGGCATGTGCGTGCGTGCTGCAGTAGGCATGTGCGTGCGTGCTGCAGTAGGCATGTGCGTGCGTGCTGCAGTAGGCATGTGCGTGCGTGCTGCAGTAGGCATGTGCGTGCGTGCTGCAGTAGGCATGTGCGTGCGTGCTGCAGTAGGCATGTGCGTGCGTGCTGCAGTAGGCATGTGCGTGCGTGCTGCAGTAGGCATGTGCGTGCGTGCTGCAGTAGGCATGTGCGTGCGTGCTGCAGTAGGCATGTGCGTGCGTGCTGCAGTAGGCATGTGCGTGCGTGCTGCAGTAGGCATGTGCGTGCGTGCTGCAGTAGGCATGTGCGTGCGTGCTGCAGTAGGCATGTGCGTGCGTGCTGCAGTAGGCATGTGCGTGCGTGCTGCAGTAGGCATGTGCGTGCGTGCTGCAGTAGGCATGTGCGTGCGTGCTGCAGTAGGCATGTGCGTGCGTGCTGCGGTAGGCATGTGCGTGCGTGCTGCAGTAGGCATGTGCGTGCGTGCTGCAGTAGGCATGTGCGTGCGTGCTGCAGTAGGCAATGTGCGTGCGTGCTGCAGTAGGCATGTGCGTGCGTGCTGCAGTAGGCATGTGCGTGCGTGCTGCAGTAGGCATGTGCGTGCGTTGCTGCAGTAGGCATGTGCGTGCGTGCTGCAGTAGGCATGTGCGTGCGTGCTGCAGTAGGCATGTGCGTGCGTGCTGCAGTAGGCATGTGCGTGCGTGCTGCAGTAGGCATGTGCGTGCGTGCTGCAGTAGGCATGTGCGTGCGTGCTGCAGTAGCATGTGCGTGCGTGCTGCAGTAGGCATGTGCGTGCGTGCTGCAGTAGGCATAGTGCGTGCGTGCTGCAGTAGGCATGTGCGTGCGTGCTGCAGTAGGCATGTGCGTGCGTGCTGCAGTAGGCATGTGCGTGCGTGCTGCAGTAGGCATGTGCGTGCGTGCTGCAGTAGCATGTGGCGTGCGTGCTGCAGTAGGCATGTGCGTGCGTGCTGCAGTAGGCATGTGCGTGCGTGCTGCAGTAGGCATGTGCGTGCGTGCTGCAGTAGGCATGTGCGTGCGTGCTGCAGTAGGCATGTGCGTGCGTGCTGCAGTAGGCATGTGCGTGCGTGCTGCAGTAGGCATGTGCGTGCGTGCTGCAGTAGGCATGTGCGTGCGTGCTGCAGTAGGCATGTGCGTGCGTGCTGCAGTAGGCATGTGCGTGCGTTGCTGCAGTAGGCATGTGCGTGCGTGCTGCAGTAGGCATGTGCGTGCGTGCTGCAGTAGGCATGTGCGTGCGTGCTGCAGTAGGCATGTGCGTGCGTGCTGCAGTAGGCATGTGCGTGCGTGCTGCAGTAGGCATGTGCGTGCGTGCTGCAGTAGGCATGTGCGTGCGTGCTGCAGTAGGCATGTGCGTGCGTGCTGCAGTAGGCATGTGCGTGCGTGCTGCAGTAGGCATGTGCGTGCGTGCTGCAGTAGGCATGTGCGTGCGTGCTGCAGTAGGCATGTGCGTGCGTGCTGCAGTAGGCATGTGCGTGCGTGCTGCAGTAGGCATGTGCGTGCGTGCTGCAGTAGGCATGTGCGTGCGTGCTGCAGTAGGCATGTGCGTGCGTGCTGCAGTAGGCATGTGGCGTGCGTGCTGCAGTAGGCATGTGCGTGCGTGCTGCAGTAGGCATGTGCGTGCGTGCTGCAGTAGGCATGTGCGTGCGTGCTGCAGTAGGCATGTGCGTGCGTGCTGCAGTAGGCATGTGCGTGCGTGCTGCAGTAGGCATGTGCGTGCGTGCTGCAGTAGGCATGTGCGTGCGTGCTGCAGTAGGCATGTGCGTGCGTGCTGCAGTAGGCATGTGCGTGCGTGCTGCAGTAGGCATGTGCGTGCGTGCTGCAGTAGGCATGTGCGTGCGTGCTGCAGTAGGCATGTGCGTGCGTGCTGCAGTAGGCATGTGCGTGCGTGCTGCAGTAGGCATGTGCGTGCGTGCTGCAGTAGGCATGTGCGTGCGTGCTGCAGTAGGCATGTGCGTGCGTGCTGCAGTAGGCATGTGCGTGCGTGCTGCAGTAGGCATGTGCGTGCGTGCTGCAGTAGGCTGTGCTGTGCGTGCCTGCAGTAGGCATGTGCGTGCGTGCTTGCAGTAGGCATGTGCGTGCGTGCTGCAGTAGGCATGTGCGTGCGTGCTGCGGTAGGCATGTGCGTGCGTGCTGCAGTAGGCATGTGCGTGCGTGCTGCAGTAGGCATGTGCGTGCGTGCTGCAGTAGGCATGTGCGTGCGTGCTGCAGTAGGCATGTGCGTGCGTGCTGCAGTAGGCATGTGCGTGCGTGCTGCAGTAGGCATGTGCGTGCGTGCTGCAGTAGGCATGTGCGTGCGTGCTGCAGTAGGCATGTGCGTGCGTGCTGCAGTAGGCATGTGCGTGCGTGCTGCAGTAGGCATGTGCGTGCGTGCTGCAGTAGGCATGTGCGTGCGTGCTGCAGTAGGCATGTGCGTGCGTGCTGCGGTAGGCATGTGCGTGCGTGCTGCAGTAGGCATGTGCGTGCGTGCTGCAGTAGGCATGTGCGTGCGTGCTGCAGTAGGCATGTGCGTGCGTGCTGCAGTAGGCATGTGCGTGCGTGCTGCAGTAGGCATGTGCGTGCGTGCTGCAGTAGGCATGTGCGTGCGTGCTGCAGTAGGCATGTGCGTGCGTGCTGGCAGTAGGCATGTGCGTGCGTGCTGCAGTAGGCATGTGCGTGCGTGCTGCAGTAGGCATGTGCGTGCGTGCTGCAGTAGGCATGTGCGTGCGTGCTGCAGGTAGGCATGTGCGTGCGTGCTGCAGTAGGCATGTGCGTGCGTGCTGCAGTAGGCATGTGCGTGCGTGCTGCAGTAGGCATGTGCGTGCGTGCTGCAGTAGGCATGTGCGTGCGTGCTGCAGTAGGCATGTGCGTGCGTGCCTGCAGTAGGCATGTGCGTGCGTGCTGCAGTAGGCATGTGCGTGCGTGCTGCAGTAGGCATGTGCGTGCGTGCTGCAGTAGGCATGTGCGTGCGTGCTGCAGTAGGCATGTGCGTGCGTGCTGCAGTAGGCATGTGCGTGCGTGCTGCAGTAGGCATGTGCGTGCGTGCTGCAGTAGGCATGTGCGTGCGTGCTGCAGTAGGCATGTGCGTGCGTGCTGCAGTAGGCATGTGCGTGCGTGCTGCAGTAGGCATGTGCGTGCGTGCTGCAGTAGGCATGTGCGTGCGTGCTGCAGTAGGCATGTGCGTGCGTGCTGCAGTAGGCATGTGCGTGCGTGCTGCAGTAGGCATGTGCGTGCGTGCTGCAGTAGGCATGTGCGTGCGTGCTGCAGTAGGCATGTGCGTGCGTGCTGCAGTAGGCATGTGCGTGCGTTGCTGCAGTAGGCATGTGCGTGCGTGCTGCAGTAGGCATGTGCGTGCGTTGCCTGCAGTAGGCATGTGCGTGCGGTGCTGCAGTAGGCATGTGCGTGCGTGCTGCAGTAGGCATGTGCGTGCGTGCTGCAGTAGGCATGTGCGTGCGTGCTGCAGTAGGCATGTGCGTGCGTGCTGCAGTAGGCATGTGCGTGCGTGCTGCAGTAGGCATGTGCGTGCGTGCTGCAGTAGGCATGTGCGTGCGTGCTGCAGTAGGCATGTGCGTGCGTGCTGCAGTAGGCATGTGCCGTGCGTGCTGCAGTAGGCATGTGCGTGCGTGCTGCAGTAGGCATGTGCGTGCGTGCTGCAGTAGGCATGTGCGTGCGTGCTGCAGTAGGCATGTGCGTGCGTGCTGCAGTAGGCATGTGCGTGCGTGCTGCAGTAGGCATGTGCGTGCGTGCTGCAGTAGGCATGTGCGTGCGTGCTGCAGGTAGGCATGTGCGTGCGTGCTGCAGTAGGCATGTGCGTGCGTGCTGCAGTAGGCATGTGCGTGCGTGCTGCAGTAGGCATGTGCGTGCGTGCTGCAGTAGGCATGTGCGTGCGTGCTGCCAGTAGGCATGTGCGTGCGTGCTGCAGTAGGCATGTGCGTGCGTGCTGCAGTAGGCATGTGCGTGCGTGCTGCAGTAGGCATGTGCGTGCGTGCTGCAGTAGGCATGTGCGTGCGTGCTGCAGTAGGCATGTGCGTGCGTGCTGCAGTAGGCATGTGCGTGCGTGCTGCAGTAGGCATGTGCGTGCGTGCTGCAGTAGGCATGTGCGTGCGTGCTGCAGTAGGCATGTGCGTGCGTGCTGCAGTAGGCATGTGCGTGCGTGCTGCAGTAGGCATGTGCGTGCGTGCTGCAGTAGGCATGTGCGTGCGTGCTGCAGTAGGCATGTGCGTGCGTGCTGCAGTAGGCATGTGCGTGCGTGCTGCAGTAGGCATGTGCGTGCGTGCTGCAGTAGGCATGTGCGTGCGTGCTGCAGTAGGCATGTGCGTGCGTGCTGCAGTAGGCATGTGCGTGCGTGCTGCAGTAGGCATGTGCGTGCGTGCTGCAGTAGGCATGTGCGTGCGTGCTGCAGTAGGCATGTGCGTGCGTGCTGCAGTAGGCATGTGCGTGCGTGCTGCAGTAGGCATGTGCGTGCGTGCTGCAGTAGGCATGTGCGTGCGTGCTGCAGTAGGCATGTGCGTGCGTGCTGCAGTAGGCATGTGCGTGCGTGCTGCAGTAGGCATGTGCGTGCGTGCTGCAGTAGGCATGTGCGTGCGTGCTGCAGTAGGCATGTGCGTGCGTGCTGCAGTAGCATGCGTGCGTGCTGCAGTAGCATGTGCGTGCGTGCTGCAGGTAGGCATGTGCGTGCGTGCTGCAGTAGGCATGTGCGTGCGTGCTGCAGTAGGCATGTGCGTGCGTGCTGCAGTAGGCATGTGCGTGCGTGCTGCAGTAGGCATGTGCGTGCGTGCTGCAGTAGGCATGTGCGTGCGTGCTGCAGTAGGCATGTGCGTGCGTGCTGCAGTAGGCATGTGCGTGCGTGCTGCAGTAGGCATGTGCGTGCGTGCTGCAGTAGGCATGTGCGTGCGTGCTGCAGTAGGCATGTGCGTGCGTGCTGCAGTAGGCATGTGCGTGCGTGCTGCAGTAGGCATGTGCGTGCGTGCTGCAGTAGGCATGTGCGTGCGTGCTGCAGTAGGCATGTGCGTGCGTGCTGCAGTAGGCATGTGCGTGCGTGCTGCAGTAGGCATGTGCGTGCGTGCTGCAGTAGGCATGTGCGTGCGTGCTGCAGTAGGCATGTGCGTGCGTGCTGCAGTAGGCATGTGCGTGCGTGCTGCAGTAGGCATGTGCGTGCGTGCTGCAGTAGGCATGTGCGTGCGTGCTGCAGTAGGCATGTGCGTGCGTGCTGCAGTAGGCATGTGCGTGCGTGCTGCAGTAGGCATGTGCGTGCGTGCTGCAGTAGGCATGTGCGTGCGTGCTGCAGTAGGCATGTGCGTGCGTGCTGCAGTAGGCATGTGCGTGCGTGCTGCAGTAGGCATGTGCGTGCGTGCTGCAGTAGGCATGTGCGTGCGTGCTGCAGTAGGCATGTGCGTGCGTGCTGCAGTAGGCATGTGCGTGCGTGCTGCAGTAGGCATGTGCGTGCGTGCTGCAGTAGGCATGTTGCGTGCGTGCTGCAGTAGGGCATGTGCGTGCGTGCTGCAGTAGGCATGTGCGTGCGTGCTGCAGTAGGCATGTGCGTGCGTGCTGCAGTAGGCATGTGCGTAGCGTGCTGCAGTAGGCATGTGCGTGCGTGCTGCAGTAGGCATGTGCGTGCGTGCTGCAGTAGGCATGTGCGTGCGTGCTGCAGTAGGCATGTGCGTGCGTGCTGCAGTAGGCATGTGCGTGCGTGCTGCAGGTAGGCATGTGCGTGCGTGCTGCAGTAGGCATGTGCGTGCGTGCTGCAGTAGGCATGTGCGTGCGTGGCTGCAGTAGGCATGTGCGTGCGTGCTGCAGTAGGCATGTGCGTGCGTGCTGCAGTAGGCATGTGCGTGCGTGCTGCAGTAGGCATGTGCGTGCGTGCTGCAGTAGGCATGTGCGTGCGTGCCTGCAGTAGGCATGTGCGTGCGTGCTGCAGTAGGCATGTGCGTGCGTGCTGCAGTAGGCATGTGCGTGCGTGCTGCAGTAGGCATGTGCGTGCGTGCTGCAGTAGGCATGTGCGTTGCGTGCTGCAGTAGGCATGTGCGTGCGTGCTGCAGTAGGCATGTGCGTGCGTGCTGCAGTAGGCATGTGCGTGCGTGCTGCAGTAGGCATGTGCGTGCGTGCTGCAGTAGGCATGTGCGTGCGTGCTGCAGTAGGCATGTGCGTGCGTGCTGCAGTAGGCATGTGCGTGCGTGCTGCAGTAGGCATGTGCGTGCGTGCTGCAGTAGGCATGTGCGTGCGTGCTGCAGTAGGCATGTGCGTGCGTGCTGCAGTAGGCATGTGCGTGCGTGCTGCAGTAGGCATGTGCGTGCGTGCTGCAGTAGGCATGTGCGTGCGTGCTGCAGTAGGCATGTGCGTGCGTGCTGCAGTAGGCATGTGCGTGCGTGCTGCAGTAGGCATGTGCGTGCGTGCTGCAGTAGGCATGTGCGTGCGTGCTGCAGTAGGCATGTGCGTGCGTGCTGCAGTAGGCATGTGCGTGCGTGCTGCAGTAGGCATGTGCGTGCGTGCTGCAGTAGGCATGTGCGTGCGTGCTGCAGTAGGCATGTGCGTGCGTGCTGCAGTAGGCATGTGCGTGCGTGCTGCAGTAGGCATGTGCGTGCGTGCTGCAGTAGGCATGTGCGTGCGTGCTGCAGTAGGCATGTGCGTGCGTGCTGCAGTAGGCATGTGCGTGCGTGCTGCAGTAGGCATGTGCGTGCGTGCTGCAGTAGGCATGTGCGTGCGTGCTGCAGTAGGCATGTGCGTGCGTGCTGCAGTAGGCATGTGCGTGCGTGCTGCAGTAGGCATGTGGCGTGCGTGCTGCAGTAGGCATGTGCGTGCGTGCTGCAGTAGGCATGTGCGTGCGTGCTGCAGTAGGCATGTGCGTGCGTGCTGCAGTAGGCATGTGCGTGCGTGCTGCAGTAGGCATGTGCGTGCGTGCTGCAGTAGGCATGTGCGTGCGTGCTGCAGTAGGCATGTGCGTGCGTGCTGCAGTAGGCATGTGCGTGCGTGCTGCAGTAGGCATGTGCGTGCGTGCTGCAGTAGGCATGTGCGTGCGTGCTGCGGTAGGCATGTGCGTGCGTGCTGCAGTAGGCATGTGCGTGCGTGCTGCAGTAGGCATGTGCGTGCGTGCTGCAGGTAGGCATGTGCGTGCGTGCTGCAGTAGGCATGTGCGTGCGTGCTGCAGTAGGCATGTGCGTGCGTGCTGCAGTAGGCATGTGCGTGCGTGCTGCAGTAGGCATGTGCGTGCGTGCTGCAGTAGGCATGTGCGTGCGTGCTGCAGTAGGCATGTGCGTGCGTGCTGCAGTAGGCATGTGCGTGCGTGCTGCAGTAGGCATGTGCGTGCGTGCTGCAGTAGGCATGTGCGTGCGTGCTGCAGTAGGCATGTGCGTGCGTGCTGCAGTAGGCATGTGCGTGCGTGCTGCAGTAGGCATGTGCGTGCGTGCTGCAGTAGGCATGTGCGTGCGTGCTGCAGTAGGCATGTGCGTGCGTGCTGCAGTAGGCATGTGCGTGCGTGCTGCAGTAGGCATGTGCGTGCGTGCTGCAGTAGGCATGTGCGTGCGTGCTGCAGTAGGCATGTGCGTGCGTGCTGCAGTAGGCATGTGCGTGCGTGCTGCAGTAGGCATGTGCGTGCGTGCTGCAGTAGGCATGTGCGTGCGTGCTGCAGTAGGCATGTGCGTGCGTGCTGCAGTAGGCATGTGCGTGCGTGCTGCAGTAGGCATGTGCGTGCGTGCTGCAGTAGGCATGTGCGTGCGTGCTGCAGTAGGCATGTGCGTGCGTGCTGCAGTAGGCATGTGCGTGCGTGCTGCAGTAGGCATGTGCGTGCGTGCTGCAGTAGGCATGTGCGTGCGTGCTGCAGTAGGCATGTGCGTGCGTGCTGCAGTAGGCATGTGCGTGCGTGCTGCAGTAGGCATGTGCGTGCGTGCTGCAGTAGGCATGTGCGTGCGTGCTGCAGTAGGCATGTGCGTGCGTGCTGCAGTAGGCATGTGCGTGCGTGCTGCAGTAGGCATGTGCGTGCGTGCTGCAGTAGGCATGTGCGTGCGTGCTGCAGTAGGCATGTGCGTGCGTGCTGCAGTAGGCATGTGCGTGCGTGCTGCAGTAGGCATGTGCGTGCGTGCTGCAGTAGGCATGTGCGTGCGTGCTGCAGTAGGCATGTGCGTGCGTGCTGCAGTAGGCATGTGCGTGCGTGCTGCAGTAGGCATGTGCGTGCGTGCTGCAGTAGGCATGTGCGTGCCGTGCTGCAGTAGGCATGTGCGTGCGTGCTGCAGTAGGCATGTGCGTGCGTGCTGCAGTAGGCATGTGCGTGCGTGCTGCAGTAGGCATGTTGCGTGCCGTGCTGCAGTAGGCATGTGCGTGCGTGCTGCAGTAGGCATGTGCGTGCGTGCTGCAGTAGGCATGTGCGTGCGTGCTGCAGTAGGCATGTGCGTGCGTGCTGCAGTAGGCATGTGCGTGCGTGCTGCAGTAGGCATGTGCCGTGCGTGCTGCAGTAGGCATGTGCGTGCGTGCTGCAGTAGGCATGTGCGTGCGTGCTGCAGTAGGCATGTGCGTGCGTGCTGCAGTAGGCATGTGCGTGCGTGCTGCAGTAGGCATGTGCGTGCGTGCTGCAGTAGGCATGTGCGTGCGTGCTGCAGTAGGCATGTGCGTGCGTGCTGCAGTAGGCATGTGCGTGCGTGCTGCAGTAGGCATGTGCGTGCGTGCTGCAGGTAGGCATGTGCGTGCGTGCTGCAGTAGCATGTGCGTGCGTGCTGCAGTAGGCATGTGCGTGCGTGCTGCAGTAGGCATGTGCGTGCGTGCTGCAGTAGGCATGTGCGTGCGTGCTGCAGTAGGCATGTGCGTGCGTGCTTGCAGTAGGCATGTGCGTGCGTGCTGCAGTAGGCATGTGCGTGCGTGCTGCAGTAGGCATGTGCGTGCGTGCTGCAGTAGGCATGTGCGTGCGTGCTGCAGTAGGCATGTGCGTGCGTGCTGCAGTAGGCATGTGCGTGCGTGCTGCAGTAGGCATGTGGCGTGCGTGCTGCAGTAGGCATGTGCGTGCGTGCTGCAGTAGGCATGTGCGTGCGTGCTGCAGTAGGCATGTGCGTGCGTGCTGCAGTAGCATGTGCGTGCGTGCTGCAGTAGGCATGTGCGTGCGTGCTGGCAGTAGGCATGTGCGTGCGTGCTGCAGTAAGGCATGTGCGTGCGTGCTGCAGTAGGCATGTGCGTGCGTGCTGCAGTAGGCATGTGCGTGCGTGCTGCAGTAGGCATGTGCGTGCGTGCTGCAGTAGGCATGTGCGTGCGTGCTGCAGGAGGCATGTGCGTGCGTGCTGCAGTAGGCATGTGCGTGCGTGCTGCAGTAGGCATGTGCGTGCGTGCTGCAGTAGGCATGTGCGTGCGTGCTGCAGTAGGCATGTGCGTGCGTGCTGCAGTAGGCATGTGCGTGCGTGCTGCAGTAGGCATGTGCGTGCGTGCTGCAGTAGGCATGTGCGTTGCGTGCTGCAGTAGGCATGTGCGTGCGTGCTGCAGTAGGCATGTGCGTGCGTGCTGCAGTAGGCATGTGCGTGCGTGCTGCAGTAGGCATGTGCGTGCGTGCTGCAGTAGGCATGTGCGTGCGTGCTGCAGTAGGCATGTGCGTGCGTTGCTGCAGTAGGCATGTGCGTGCGTGCTGGCAGTAGGCATGTTGCGTGCGTGCTGCAGTAGGCATTGCGTGCGTGCTGCAGTAGGCATGTGCGGTGCGTGCTGCAGTAGGCATGTGCGTGCGTGCCTGCAGTAGGCATGTGCGTGCGTGCTGCAGTAGGCATGTGCGTGCGTGCTGCAGTAGGCATGTGCGTGCGTGCTGCAGTAGGCATGTGCGTGCGTGCTGCAGTAGGCATGTGCGTGCGTGCTGCAGTAGGCATGTGCGTGCGTGCTGCAGTAGGCATGTGCGTGCGTGCTGCAGTAGGCATGTGCGTGCGTGCTGCAGTAGGCATGTGCGTGCGTGCTGCAGTAGGCATGTGCGTGCGTGCTGCAGTAGGCATGTGCGTGCGTGCTGCAGTAGGCATGTGCGTGCGTGCTGCAGTAGGCATGTGCGTGCGTGCTGCAGTAGGCATGTGCGTGCGTGCTGCAGTAGGCATGTGCGTGCGTGCTGCAGGAGGCATGTGCGTGCGTGCTGCAGTAGGCATGTGCGTGCGTGCTGCAGTAGGCATGTGCGTGCGTGCTGCAGTAGGCATGTGCGTGCGTGCTGCAGTAGGCATGTGCGTGCGTGCTGCAGTAGGCATGTGCGTGCGTGCTGCAGTAGGCATGTGCGTGCGTGCTGCAGTAGGCATGTGCGTGCGTGCTGCAGTAGGCATGTGCGTGCGTGCTGCAGTAGGCATGTGCGTGCGTGCTGCAGTAGGCATGTGCGTGCGTGCTGCAGTAGGCATGTGCGTGCGTGCTGCAGTCGGCATGTGCGTGCGTGCTGCAGTAGGCATGTGCGTGCGTGCTGCAGTAGGCATGTGCGTGCGTGGCTGCAGTAGGCATGTGCGTGCGTGCTGCAGTAGGCATGGCTGCGTGCTGCAGTAGGCATGTGCGTGCGTGCTGCAGTAGGCATGTGCGTGCGTGCTGCAGTAGGCATGTGCGTGCGTGCTGCAGTAGGCATGTGCGTGCGTGCTGCAGTAGGCATGTGCGTGCGTGCTTGCAGTGAGGCATAGTGCGTGCGTGCTGCAGTAGGCATGTGCGTGCGTGCTGCATAGGCATGTGCGTGCGTGCTGCAGTAGGCATGTGCGTGCGTGCTGCAGTAGGCATGTGCGTGCGTGCTGCAGTAGGCATGTGCGTGCGTGCTGCAGTAGGCATGTGCGTGCGTGCTGCAGTAGGCATGTGCGTGCGTGCTGCAGTAGGCATGTGCGTGCGTGCTGCAGTAGGCATGTGCGTGCGTGCTGCAGTAGGCATGTGCGTGCGTGCTGCAGTAGGCATGTGCGTGCGTGCTGCAGTAGGCATGTGCGTGCGTGCTGCAGTAGGCATGTGCGTGCGTGCTGCAGTAGGCATGTGCGTGCGTGCTGCAGTAGGCATGTGCGTGCGTGCTGCAGTAGGCATGTGGTGCCGTGCTGCAGTAGGCATGTGCGTGCGTGCCTGCAGTAGGCATGTGCGTGCGTGCTGCAGTAGGCATGTGCGTGCGTGCTGCAGTAGGCATGTGCGTGCGTGCTGCAGTAGGCATGTGCGTGCGTGCTGCAGTAGGCATGTGCGTGCGTGCTGCTGCCAGTAGGCATGTGCGTGCGTGCTGCAGTAGGCATGTGCGTGCGTGCTGCAGTAGGCATGTGCGTGCGTGCTGCAGTAGGCATGTGCGTGCGTGCTGCAGTAGGCATGTGCGTGCGTGCTGCAGTAGGCATGTGCGTGCGTGCTGCAGTAGGCATGTGCGTGCGTGCCTGCAGTAGGCATGTGCGTGCGTGCTGCAGTAGGCATGTGCGTGCGTGCTGCAGTAGGCATGTGCGTGCGTGCTGCAGTAGGCATGTGCGTGCGTGCTGCAGTAGGCATGTGGCGTGCGTGCTGCAGTAGGCATGTGCGTGCGTGCTGCAGTAGGCATGTGCGTGCGTGCTGCAGTAGGCATGTGCGTGCGTGCTGCAGTAGGCATGTGCGTGCGTGCTGCAGTAGGCATGTGCGTGCGTGCTGCAGTAGGCATGTGCGTGCGTGCTGCAGTAGGCATGTGCGTGCGTGCTGCAGTAGGCATGTGCGTGCGTGCTGCAGTAGGCATGTGCGTGCGTGCTGCAGTAGGCATGTGCGTGCGTGCTGCAGTAGGCATGTGCGTGCGTGCTGCAGTAGGCATGTGCGTGCGTGCTGCAGTAGGCATGTGCGTGCGTGCTGCAGTAGGCATGTGCGTGCGTGCTGCAGGAGGCATGTGCGTGCCGTGCTGCAAGTGAGGCATGTGCGTGCGTGCTGCAGTAGGCATGTGCGTGCGTGCTGCAGTAGGCATGTGCGTGCGTGCTGGCAGTAGGCGATGTGCTGCGTGCTGCAGTAGGCATGTGCGTGCGTGCTGCAGTAGGCCATGTGCGTGCGTGTCTGCAGTAGGCCATGTGCGTGCGTGCTGCAGTAGGCATGTGCGTGCGTGCTGCAGTAGGCATGTGCGTGCGTGCTGCAGTAGGCATGTGCGTGCCGTGCTGCAGTGGCATGTGCGTGCGGCTGCAGTAGGCATGTGCGTGCGTGCTGCAGTAGGCATGTGCGTGCGTGCTGCAGGAGGCATGTGCGTGCGTGCTGCAGTAGCATGTGCGTGCGTGCTGGCAGTAGGCATGTGCGTGCGTGCTGCAGTAGGCATGTGCGTGCGTGCTGCAGTAGGCATGTGCGTGCGTGCTGCAGTAGGCATGTGCGTGCGTGCTGCATAGGCATGTGCGTGCGTGCTAGGCATGTGCGTGCGTGCTGCAGTAGGCATGTGCGTGCGTGCTGCAGTAGGCATGTGCGTGCGTGCTGCAGTAGGCATGTGCGTGCGTGCTGCAGTAGGCATGTGCGTGCGTGCTGCAGTAGGCATGTGCGTGCGTGCTGCAGTAGGCATGTGCGTGCGTGCTGCAGTAGGCATGTGCGTGCGTGCTGCAGTAAGGCATGTGCGTGCAGTGCTGCAGTAGGCATGTGCGTGCCGTGCTGCAGTAGGCATGTGCGTGCGTGCTGCAGTAGGCATGTGCGTGCGTGCCTGCAGTAGGCATGTGCGTGCGTGCTGCAGTAGGCATGTGCGTGCGTGCTGCAGTAGGCATGTGCGTGCGTGCTGCAGTAGGCATGTGCGTGCGTGCTGCAGTAGGCATGTGCGTGCGTGCTGCAGTAGGCATGTGCGTGCGTGCTGCAGTAGGCATGTGCGTGCGTGCTGCAGTAGGCATGTGCGTGCGTGCTGCAGTAGGCATGTGCGTGCGTGCTGCAGTAGGCATGTGCGTGCGTGCTGCAGTAGGCATGTGCGTGCGTGCTGCAGTAGGCATGTGCGTGCGTGCTGCAGTAGGCATGTGCGTGCGTGCTGCAGTAGGCATGTGCGTGCGTGCTGCAGTAGGCATGTGCGTGCGTGCTGCAGTAGGCATGTGCGTGCGTGCTGCAGTAGGCATGTGCGTGCGTGCTGCAGTAGGCATGTGCGTGCGTGCTGCAGTAGGCATGTGCGTGCGTGCTGCAGTAGGCATGTGCGTGCGTGCTGCAGTAGGCATGTGCGTGCGTGCTGCAGTAGGCATGTGCGTGCGTGCTGCAGTAGGCATGTGCGTGCGTGCTGCAGTAGGCATGTGCGTGCGTGCTGCAGTAGGCATGTGCGTGCGTGCTGCAGTAGGCATGTGCGTGCGTGTGCAGTAGGCATGTGCGTGCGTGCTGCAGTAGGCATGTGCGTGCGTGCTGCAGTAGGCATGTGCGTGCGTGCTGCAGTAGGCATGTGCGTGCGTGCTGCAGTAGGCATGTGCGTGCGTGCTGCAGTAGGCATGTGCGTGCGTGCTGCAGTAGGCATGTGCGTGCGTGCTGCAGTAGGCATGTGCGTGCGTGCTGCAGTAGGCATGTGCGTGCGTGCTGCAGTAGGCATGTGCGTGCGTGCTGCAGTAGGCATGTGCGTGCGTGCTGCAGTAGGCATGTGCGTGCGTGCTGCAGTAGGCATGTGCGTGCGTGCTGCAGTAGGCAGTGCGTGCGTGCTGCAGTAGGCATGTGCGTGCGTGCTGCAGTAGGCATGTGCGTGCGTGCTGCAGTAGATGTGCCTGCTAGGCATGTGCGTGCGTGCTGCAGTAGGCATGTGCGTGCGTGCTGCAGTAGGCATGTGCGTGCGTGCTGCAGTAGGCATGTGCGTGCGTGCTGCAGTAGGCATGTGCGTGCGTGCTGCAGTAGGCATGTGCGTGCGGTGCTGCAGTAGGCATGTGCGTGCGTGCTGCAGTAGGCATGTGCGTGCGTGCTGCAGTAGGCATGTGCGTGCGTGCTGCAGTAGGCATGTGCGTGCGTGCTGCAGTAGGCATGTGCGTGCGTGCTGCAGTAGGCATGTGCGTGCGTGCTGCAGTAGGCATGTGGCGTGCGTGCTGCAGTAGGCATGTGCGTGGCGTGCCTGCAGTAGGCATGTGCGTGCGTGCTGCAGTAGGCATGTGCGTGCGTGCTGCAGTAGGCATTGCGTGCGTGCTGCAGTAGGCATGTGCGTGCGTGCTGCAGTAGGCATGTGCGTGCGTGCTGCAGTAGGCATGTGCGTGCGTGCTGCAGTAGGCATGTGCGTGCGTGCTGCAGTAGGCATGTGCGTGCGTGCTGCAGTAGGCATGTGCGTGCGTGCTGCAGTAGGCATGTGCGTGCGTGCTGCAGTAGGCATGTGCGTGCGTTGCTGCAGTAGGCATGTGCGTGCGTGCTTGCAGTAGGCATGTGCGTGCGTGCTGCAGTAGGCATGTGCGTGCGTGCTGCAGTAGGCATGTGCGTGCGTGCTGCAGTAGGCATGTGCGTGCGTGCTGCAGTAGGCATGTGCGTGCGTGCTGCAGTAGGCATGTGCGTGCGTGCTGCAGTAGGCATGTGCGTGCGTGCTGCAGTAGGCATGTGCGTGCGTGCTGCAGTAGGCATGTGCGTGCGTGCTGCAGTAGGCATGTGCGTGCGTGCTGCAGTAGGCATGTGCGTGCGTGCTGCAGTAGGCATGTGCGTGCGTGCTGCAGTAGGCATGTGCGTGCCGTGCTGCAGTAGGCATGTGCGTGCGTGCTGCAGTAGGCATGTGCCGTGCGTGCTGCAGTAGGCATGTGCGTGCGTGCTGCAGTAGGCATGTGCGTGCGTGCTGCAGGTAGGCATGTGCGTGCGTGCTGCAGTAGGCATGTGCGTTGCGTGCCTGCAGTAGGCATGTGCGTGCGTGCTGCAGTAGGCATGTGCGTGCGTGCTGCAGTAGGCATGTGCGTGCGTGCTGCAGTAGGCATGTGCGTGCGTGCTGCAGTAGGCATGTGCGTGCGTGCTTGCAGTAGGCATGTGCGTGCGTGCTGCAGTAGGCATGTGCGTGCGTGCTGGCAGTAGGCATGTGCGTGCGTGCTGCAGTAGGCATGTGCGTGCGTGCTGCAGTAGGCATGTGCGTGCGTGCTGCAGTAGGCATGTGCGTGCGTGCTGCAGTAGGCATGTGCGTGCGTGCTGCAGTAGGCATGTGCGTGCGTGCTGCAGTAGGCATGTGCGTGCGTGCTGCAGTAGGCATGTGCGTGCGTGCTGCAGTAGGCATGTGCGTGCGTGCTGCAGTAGGCATGTGCGTGCGTGCTGCAGTAGGCATGTGCGTGCGTGCTGCAGTAGGCATGTGCGTGCGTGCTGCAGTAGGCATGTGCGTGCGTGCTGCAGTAGGCATGTGCGTGCGTGCTGCAGTAGGCATGTGCGTGCGTGCTGCAGTAGGCATGTGCGTGCGTGCTGCAGTAGGCATGTGCGTGCGTGCTGCAGTAGGCATGTGCGTGGCGTGCTGCAGTAGGCATGTGCGTGCGTGCAGTAGGCATGTGCGTGCGTGCTGCAGTAGGCATGTGCGTGCGTGCTGCAGTAGGCATGTGCGTGCGTGCTGCAGTAGGCATGTGCGTGCGTGCTGCAGGAGGCATGTGCGTGCGTGCTGCAGGAGGCATGTGCGTGCGTGCTGCAGTAGGCATGTGCGTGCGTGCTGCAGTAGGCATGTGCGTGCGTGCTGCAGTAGGCATGTGCGTGCGTGCTGCAGTAGGCATGTGCGTGCGTGCTGCAGTAGGCATGTGCGTGCGTGCTGCAGTAGGCATGTGCGTGCGTGCTGCAGTAGGCATGTGCGTGCGTGCTGCAGTAGGCATGTGCGTGCGTGCTGCAGTAGGCATGTGCGTGCGTGCTGCAGTAGGCATGTGCGTGCGTGCTGCAGGAGGCATGTGCGTGCGTGCTGCAGTAGGCATGTGCGTGCGTGCTGCAGGAGGCATGTGCGTGCGTGCTGCAGTAGGCATGTGCGTGCGTGCTGCAGTAGGCATGTGCGTGCATGCTGCAGTAGGCATGTGCGTGCGTGCTGCAGGAGGCATGTGCGTGCGTGCTGCAGGAGGCATGTGCGTGCGTTGCTGTGCTGCAGTAGGCATGTGCGTGCGTGCTGCAGTAGGCATGTGCGTGCGTGCTGCAGTAGGCATGTGCGTGCGTGCTGCAGTAGGCATGTGCGTGCGTGCTGCAGTAGGCATGTGCGTGCGTGCTGCAGTAGGCATGTGCGTGCGTGCTGCAGTAGGCATGTGCGTGCGTGCTGCAGTAGGCATGTGCGTGCGTGCTGCAGTAGGCATGTGCGTGCGTGCTGCAGTAGGCATGTGCGTGCGTGCTGCAGTAGGCATGTGCGTGCGTGCTGCAGTAGGCATGTGCGTGCGTGCTGCAGTAGGCATGTGCGTGCGTGCTGCAGTAGGCATGTGCGTGCGTGCTGCAGTAGGCATGTGCGTGCGTGCTGCAGTAGGCATGTGCGTGCGTGCTGCAGTAGGCATGTGCGTGCGTGCTGCAGTAGGCATGTGCGTGCGTGCTGCAGTAGGCATGTGCGTGCGTGCTGCAGTAGGCATGTGCGTGCGTGCTGCAGTAGGCATGTGCGTGCGTGCTGCAGTAGGCATGTGCGTGCGTGCTGCAGTAGGCATGTGCGTGCGTGCTGCAGTAGGCATGTGCGTGCGTGCTGCAGTAGGCATGTGCGTGCGTGCTGCAGTAGGCATGTGCGTGCGTGCTGCAGTAGGCATGTGCGTGCGTGCTGCAGTAGGCATGTGCGTGCGTGCTGCAGTAGGCATGTGCGTGCGTGCTGCAGTAGGCATGTGCGTGCGTGCTGCAGTAGGCATGTGCGTGCGTGCTGCAGTAGGCATGTGCGTGCGTGCTGCAGTAGGCATGTGCGTGCGTGCTGCAGTAGGCATGTGAGAATAAAAACACGAACGTGCTTGGGTCGAACACATACCGCACACCTCTTAGGAACCGGCGGACGATGCCATATGTGCGTGTGAATATGTGCGTGTGAATATGGGCGTGTGAATATGTGCGTGTGAATACGTGCGTGTGAGTATGGGCGTGTGAATATGTGCGTGCGACCATGTGTGTGTGAACATGTGCGTGTGAACATGTGCGTGCGACCATGTGCTTATGAGCATGTGGGTGTGAAGATGTGCGTGTGAGCATGTGCGTGTGAGCATGTGCGTGTGAGCATGTGCGTGTGAGTATGAGCATGTGCGTGTGAACACGTGCGTGTGAACATCTGCATGTGAACATGTGCGTGTGAGCATGTGTGTGTGAACATGTGTGTGTGAACATGTGAGTATGTCCTGCTGTGTCAACATGTGCGCATGTGCTGCAGCGTCAACATATATGCTGCTGTGTGAACATGTGCCTATATGTCATCAATGTATGTGCCTGTCTGCAATCGTGCCAGCGTGAATGTGAATGTGTGCATGTGTGTGTGTATGTGTGACAGTGCATCCATATATGCATGTGGTATGATATTCCCATGTTAATCTGAGCGCGTGTGTTGCACTTAGACTGGGCAATGGCGCGCGCTCTGTGCACAGAACGGCAACATGAAGACCCCACGACTCTGTTCTGCGACATCCAATCACGGCACGCTGATCTCAGCATGTGCTTCACATGAAAGGCGCAGCATTGGCTGGTTGGCTGGTGGTAGAGAACGGGTCAACATGGTCAACGCAAGTCAACCCAAAGTTCCCTTCCATCCCATCCATCTGTCTGTGTCAGGTTGTACGCGCGGCGCCACGGGTACCGAATGGTGGTGGAGGACGGATTCAAGTACACTCCGGACAGACACCCATCGTGGTTCAAGGTGAGGGGGTTGCCACCCAAAGCTACGGGGCACCACACTCTACTCGCCCTGCCTTTCCTCACCACCCACGCATCGGCTTTCCACTGTGTGGCTGTGAACCGCCCATACTCTCTGTATCTCCTTCTGCTGCTGCTGCCTGTGTGTAGCACTTCCGAACTGCAGTGTCATCCCCACCCTCACCAGTGAGCTGCCACCAGTGAGCTCGCACGCACCAGGGGATGCGGTGCGCCGCATGAGAATCCAACCACCTCTATCCACCAGGAGAAAATGTTCTCTCATAGGCTGCGCCCCCTGCCCGCCTGCTCCCTTGCTCCCCTGATCCTCTGCTCCCCTGATCCTCTGCTCCCCTGATCCTCTGCTCCCCTGATCCTCTGCTCCCCTGATCCTCTGCTCCCCTGCATGGCCTGCACACCTGGCCTCTACACCTGCATGGCCAGCAGGTGCAGCAATGCAAGCATGAGCGCCAACCACCTTCTACTCACCCCCTGCCCCTCCTGCTCCCCCTGCTCCCCCTGTTCCTCCTGCCGCCCCTGCTCCCCTGCATGGCGTACTGCAGGTGCCGTTCCTGCAGTCACAGCTGGCGTGTTGCTGCGAGAGGGCCTTCTTCCTCGACTCAGACGCCTACATGCGCATGCACCACCACCGCCTCTCCATCCCCACCTGGATCCAATCCATCAACCAACCTGTGAGTTTTGAGTTGTCTCAAAAGTTACATGCGAATGCGCTTCGTCTTGAACCCTGCAACAGCCAACATCTGCGCTCCTATTCTCTTGAACAAATTATGTGAGCAAGAAACTGAGTGTGGTTGATGCTTCTTCTCCTCACCTCTTCTCTCCCCTCCTCACCCCTTCTCACCAATGCCCTATTTCGAAAGAAGCCAACCCGAAAATCTCTGGCGGTCATATGCATATTCTCGCAAACCTGCCATTGTGCATTGGTCTGAAGAAGGTTTGTATGCCGAAACAGGTTACCACCGCTGTTCACAAAGAGCACTCAACCGTCTAGCATTCACAGGTGTTGAATCCTTGAAGATACCACCACGGATCGACATAATGGCACCTGACTGGTGTTCAATCAGATCTGCCATCGCATCGTGCCCATCAGATCCGCCGTTGGCCCGGCTAGCCCGGGGGGATCGATGACAAACGTGTAAGTCACTGCCTGCTGTGCCTCCCTGACCTCTCACCGCAACCACTCTACCTGCTTCTGCTTGGCAACTGCATCCTAGCAGGCCCGCTGGAGGGGCACGTGTGGGTGGACTCCACTACACATGACCTTCGGAACTTTCTCCAGTGCTTCCCTTTCCTACCCATCCACACCCCTACCTCACAGGTGTGGGCAGACCCCATAACGCATGACCTTCGGAACTCTCTCCAGTGCTTACCTTTCCTTTCCATCCACAAGAAAAGCGAATCTGCCAGATTACATGGGCGCTACTACCTATGTTGGACATTTTTGTTACAAGTTTCGACACATGATATCAAATTAGCATTCTTGTGCCTCTCCCAACCCTGGGAATGCCTCTTGTATCCGCCTCTTCCTCCCTGCAGAACTACTTCGACTGGCTGCTGAGGGACAATCTCACCGACTCTCTGGAGGGGCAGGTGTGGCTCCCACAGGACCCCGCCCTGCTGCTACAGCCCGCCACCGCGCTACAGCCGGAAGGAGGGCCCGTGGCTCTGATACCACGGAACGGCGACTCAAGGGATGGCTTTTATGGGGACGTGGGCATGGTGTTCCGAAGGGACTCGGACTACATCAATGCGGGTGTCATGCTCTGGCGCCGCTCGCCCGCCACCTTCCAGGTGGGGAGCCAACTTGAGTTGCTTCAGGTGTGAGTGGGCTGGGCGTGAGTGGGCTGGGCGTGAGTGGGCTGGGCGTGAGTGGGCTGGGCGTGAGTGGGCTGGGCGTGAGTGGGCTGGGCGTGAGTGGGCTGGGGCGGCACTAGCAGATGCTGTGGCCAGGCAGATACATGTGGGGGAGTGAGCCGTACAGGCGAGTGGATTAGCACATGTGGGGATTGGAGCAACATTTGGTGTGGGTAGTGCGCCAGAACGTATACGGCCACGTGAGTATGTTCGTCGCCTCCTTGTTTTGTTGCCTGCCACTGGAATACCATGGCCACATGCTATCAATGCGGGAGTGCTGGTGTGCGGTAGAGGTGATTTTGAAGTTTTACGTCTCCGTTGAAGGGGTGTCGTGTGGGAGAGGTGCCGTGTGGGAGAGGTGCCGTGTGGGAGAGGTGCCGTGTGGGAGAGGTGTCGTGTGGGAGAGGTGTTGTGTGGGAGAGGTGTTGTGTGGGAGAGGTGTTGTGTGGGAGAGGTGTTGTGTGGGAGAGGTGTTGTGTGGGAGAGGTGTTGTGTGGGAGAGGTGTTGTGTGGGAGAGGTGTTGTGTGGGAGAGGTGTTGTGTGGGAGAGGTGTTGTGTGGGAGAGGTGTTGTGTGGGAGAGGTGTTGTGTGGGAGAGGTGTTGTGTGGGAGAGGTGTTGTGTGGGAGAGGTGTTGTGTGGGAGAGGTGTTGTGTGGGAGAGGTGTTGTGTGGGAGAGGTGTTGTGTGGGAGAGGTGTTGTGTGGGAGAGGTGTTGTGTGGGAGAGGTGTTGTGTGGGAGAGGTGTTGTGTGGGAGAGGTGTTGTGTGGGAGAGGTGTCGTCTCTCGTTGCACTGCTGCTGTGCCTTCCCCCCTCTGCTCTCCTAGTTCTTGAGGCAGTGGCACAGTGTGCAGAGGGGCGAGTACCAGCTGGCCAACCACGTGTGGGAGGAGTCAAACCGCAACCAGGCTGTACGTCAGCCGCAGTGGATACTCATTCCGCTGCTGTTGCCCCTTTCGCCCCCTCTGCTCTGCGCAGTTCTTGAGGCAGTGGTACAGCGAGCAGCAGGGCGACTACCACCTGTTCAGCCACGTGTGGGAGCAGCACCGCCTCAACCAGGTGGCGCGCTGGCCGCAGTGGCGGCGGAGGGTGCTCATGGTGCCGTTCCGTGAGCTCACAGGGCCCGATGGGGCCATGGTGCGCCACCTGTGGGGGGGTGTGGCCAGCGAGGAGCGCGACAGGGTGGTCCATGACGCACTGGAGGAGGCACTGGGCAGCCTGCAGTGAGGGCAGTGAGGGCAGTGAGGGCAGTGAGGGCAGTCAGGGCAGTGAGGGCAGTCAGGGCAGTCAGGGCAGTCAGGGCAGTGAGGGCAGTCAGGGCAGTCAGGGCAGTGAGGGCAGTGAGGGCAGTCAGGGCAGTGAGGGCAGTGAGGGCAGTCAGGGCAGTGAGGGCAGTCAGGGCAGTGAGGGCAGTCAGGGCAGTCAGGGCAGTGAGGGCAGTCAGGGCAGTCAGGGAAGCACATACGTGGGCTTCATTAGGCGTGTGTAGGCTTGCCTGTGCTTCTCCCGGTATGTCCAGGGCTGTCTGTGTTTTTGTGGCTTGCTGCGGGTAAGGGCAGCTTGTGAGAGGGTGGTGGAGTGTGGGCCATTGGAACACGCACTGAACTGCGCTTTGCTGGGTGAAGTGCTGTGTTGGGCATGGGTGGAAGGTGCTGTGTTGGGCATGGCTGGAAGGAGTCACGCTTGTGTGTCCTGCGTACACCCACATGTGCGTGTGTGGGTGATCTTTCACCGGACGCACGTGGTGGTGTGGTGGTTGAGGTGCTGCCGGAGGTGCTGGGGTAGCAGCGTTACAGGCTGCGGCAGTTATTGTTTCGAGCGTTATGTTCAGAGGAGAGAGTTTTGAGAGGTGGTATGTGCAATGGAGAGCTGGCTTGCCACGCTGAGGTCTTGTCTGTGGGTGATGTGAGGGGAGTGGTGGCTTCATATAGTAGGTAGCCATGGCCGTGGCCGGCGGCTGCATCCCAGAAGCATTAGGATTTATCATTGCATGGTGACTGGGTTTGAAAACCTTACATTGTATCGTACTCCCCCGAATGGGGCCCCCTAGGGGCTTATGTTCTTTCGGCCATTTTTTGGGATGGGGCGTACAGTTGAATACGCCTGTACCGGTAACAGCCTTGGGGCTTATAATTGTTGGGCTTTGAATAGCGATGTACGGTATTAGCGGAAGCGTTTTAGTGAGTTGGTTGAACCACCTTGCACTGGTATGTGAGAACAAGATAAGTTGATAATAGCATACCGTATGGCCCCGGATATAGGCGCCGTCCGATTAAAGGCGCCGGCGCCTATATCTGGAGCATGGCGCTTATGGCCGTTCCTCGATTATAAGCGCCCCCCCTATAAAACCCTGATTTATTATAAGCGCGTGCATAATTTTATTATTTCAATCCTGATTAAAACAGTAACGAATTTCGAATTTCAAGCAAGTCAGCACCCATTTTCACTTTGTTTGACTTTCGAGGTCCTGACTGTTTTCGCGTCCAGTCAGGATGAGGTGGCACGCGGGCAAATTGACGTGCGAAAAGCTATGTGCAGCGTCAGAGATTCGCCCTCACGCGATTCAAATTCAGGACGCTATAAAATGTCGACTCGATTGAACTTACGAGACGGAAATGTACAATTTGGTGCGTTTAAGTTGTATTTCTGTATTTGTCATTATATAAGCGCCGGCGCTTATGGCCGATACTCAATTAAAAGCGCCCCCCACAAAAAAACTGATTTTATTATAAGCGCATATGCGCTACTATCCGGGGTAATACGGGTAGAGATACAGGTCTTTATATGATCACAAGGAATATGAAAGGTTTAACTAACTGTAACTACTGTTGCAGTTTGATACAGCGACGACTCGGGTAACTGCTGTTGGAAACATATAGTTCGCGCTTTTGATGTGTCGAGTACTACGGTACAACGAAAGCGAAGCAAACTAAAGCGAAACAACAGCGAGTCAACCAAAGCGGTTGACAGAAAGACAACAGCAAGAGGTTGAGTGAAGGTCAAAGGTCAGCGACCTTTGACTCGCCGAAGGCAGCGCGACAGCAAGGACACATAACTAACTCGATATTAGGCAGTTACCTGAGTCGTCGCAGTATCGAACCGCAACAACAGTTACAGTTAGTCAAACCTTTCGTATTCCTTGTAATCATATAAAAGCTTGTATCTCTTTGTTATTATCAACTTATCTTGTTCTTACACACCAGTGCAAGGTGGTTCAATAAGTTTACTAATACGCTTCCGCTAATACATCACTACTCTGAGACTTTGGTCTTGAAAACGATCCTAAGGGCTTTTCTCAGCCCAACATGGTATGAGAGCTAGCAAGACAAAAGACAACTCTGCTCAACTTCCTACAACAACAGAAGGCATGGCTACGCAGAAAGAAAGAAGCTCGTCTACTGGATCTCCCGGCAACACTTCTACTCCACCTCCAGCCTCTGGACTACAAATAGAGAGAGGCACAACCCAAGGACCAGCTGCTGAGCTACTGAAACTCCTGCTAATTAAGCTACCGGCTTCGACCCAAGCATGATGGAGAAGTTCTTCTCCTTCATGTCGTTCTACGAGCAACATCAACAAGCGGCACCTGCGCAGTCAAACAACAGCGACAACAACAACGGAGTCACTCCCATGAGCCTTGACGGTTCATCCTTTGCGCGCGGAAATCAGCAGCCTACCTTCGCACCTTATGAGCCTCAACGCGGCTCTGTCAGCTTCATGCCGAATCGACTCCCACCTGGACAAGAAACGAAGACACTGGACGCACTTCACTTGCAGTCACAGTTTGCGCACGTTATGAAACTGCAACGACAACGCCATTCGACGGCAAAGATTTCTATACCTGGTCCTTTGAGTTCGAGCTTATGATGGAGGGCGCCCAAATCCTTGGCTTCTTCGACGGTTCCCTGCCATATCCAACGCACGGAACAGAGTACGACAAGCAGCAGTACACATATCATTCACTCATGGCGTACACCATACACATGCAAAACATAACGCCAAACGAGCAGCAGAACATCCGGTCTTATCGCGGATACGGTAACTCCGCCGAGCTCGCGTACAACCACCTGAAGAACCTGTATCAAGCAACCGGCAGCGTCAATCAAAGTCGTCTCATGGCGCAATTAACAACGATTCAAATGCAACCGGACGAAAAGGGGATGGCATATATCAGTCGCTATCGAGGTCTGCGCGATAGACTCCTTCGATGCGGCGGATCAATATCTGAAGAAGTGTTCGTCACTGTCGTCATCACAGGCCTCGGTCCTCAATGGCGCTCCACTCGAGCTATTCTCCGAGCTCATGGAAGAATCTCCGAAGCAAACCTCTGCGTTGAAATCCACGCCGAGCAATAAGACATGGACCTGCACGAAGCGTCACAAGAAGAAGGCATCAGTACCGGAGTTGGCATTTCATACTCAGCGGCGCAACAACAATAACAACCGCCAACACGAGCACCAAGCACGAAGATACATACCACCGTTTTGTCACCTCTGCAAAACGTCAGGGCACTCTCTCGCACACTAGTGCAATCAACACCACCACCACTCCAGCTTCGACCTTCAAGCAGTCAGGTGGCTTTCATACAGCCACATCCTTCCAACCAGGCGTCGTCTTCAACAACAACATCACAACCAGCACGAGGAACAAGAAATATCATAAGTTGCATGACAAGAACGGACTCCTGCATCACCGGCTCACCACCGACGTATTCACCTGAAGAACAGCTCGACGAAAGCCTGCCCCGTCGTGAATCGCTGTAACCAAACCCGACGTACGCCGCCATAGCACAGAGCGAACCATTCGGTCAAGATACTTGGTTCTTGGACAGATGCTGCAGACAACATATGTGCTCATCAAACCGCTTCGTCCAACAGGAACAACGCCTCAACCGGGATGTCGTGATCACCGTTGCCAACAACCAGAACTTGCGCACACGACTACAAGGAGTAATTCAACTTCAGTCCCGCGAGACCAATGTCGTCTTACAAATGTGAAAGGTTTTAATTGCAGAAGGACTGGGCTACAACTTACTCAGCGTCAGCCAGCTCATGGCAAAAGGAATTGTTCTTGAAGCCGACAGCACCACTCCGGAATTCAGACTGTACATCGGAAGGGACGGGCTTTACATCGGAAGAGCGGTCATAAAGAAAAACGTCTTCGTTCTTGATTTCGTCCCAGATCAAGGCACCGCTGACAGCGACGCGATTGTTAACTTCACCACTTGGTCGCACCCACCAGATCTCGACCCCGACTTCAGCCCCGGAGGATTCTGGTACTCACACACCATACCTGAAACACAATGAACAAGGGCGTTAGCGGTGATCCAAGAGACATTGGGAGAAGCATCAACATCGGCAGCAGCAGAGACAACAGCAGCAGAGACAGCAGCAGCGACAACGGGAGCAGCAGCGGCAACATCGGCAGAAGCAAAGACAACGACACCAGTACCAACGCCCGCTCAACAGCTGATTCCCGCCCCACGCAACGTTCACCGAAGCGCCAACATCATTGCCAGTTTTTACTCCAACTCCGATGTGTACAGACGTTCACCTGGACATCGCACTGACGAATCATTATGGCATCAAAGGTTAGGGCATCCTAGCAACACAACACTGAACAACACGATAATAGCAGGAGTGCTCGATAAAGACTCACTCCTCGTACCCGACGGTAGAGAACTTCAACGAGTCCGCGGAACCTACTTTACCTGCCCTGAAGCCGACTTACCCCATCAGCCGTTTGTCTCTCATCACAACCCAAGCGCGCCAGCCTATGCACCACTGGAGAAGGTTTACAGCGACATAATGTACGCCCGTGAAAGCTGACAAGGAGCCTACAACTATATCATCACCTTCATCGATGCCGCCACCAGATACGTCTGGCACCTCAATCTTCCGAGTTGCGACATGGCCTTCGAAGCCTTCGTCGCATGGCTTCCAGTACCAGAAAGGGAATCAGGAGTGAAGCTGAAAAGCTTCCAATCAGACGGGGGAGGAGAATATCAGTCACAGCGGTTCAAGCAGTACCTGGCGGAGAGGGGCATCAAGCGATTCATCTCTCTTCCCTACGCTCATCAGCAGCAAGGCGTGGCAGAAAGAATGAACAGGACCCTCCAGATCACCATGCGCAAGCTGCTACGTGGCATGCGGCTACCCAACCATCAGTGGCCTGAGGCGACGGACCACATTGTGCTGTTGCACAACTTGCTTTCGTCATCCTCGCTTCCGAACAACGCATCACTGCATCTGTTGTGGACAGGAAAATTGGGCAACACAAAAATGTTACGGGTTTTTTTATGCATGGTACAGTACCGACCACACACTGTACGAGCCGGACGATTCTCACAACGCACACAGTGGGGACTACACCTGGGCATCGAGAAGCATTACAGCGCGTTGAAAATCTTCGACGTCCACTCGAAGGAAACAGTAGCAGCACGTGACGTGATCTTCTACGAGCAACTCACTCTCCAAACGTACCTGGACAACTTGGCAGCAGAACGAGACCTCACGGGCGGCTTCCGTGGCAACCGAGCCTTCACCACACCAGCAGATGAGGCTGATTGGGATGAGCAAAACGTGGACGGAGCATCCGAGGAAGCCGGACCCCTTCCTTACTGCTCGATACCTGTTCCGATGGACGACGAAAATCCTCGCGAAAGCATCAACGCCGAAGTCTACTACAACTTCGCCGACAATGGTTACGTTACACCCCAGCTGGTCAACACCAACGTTTTGGAACGCATAGGCCCCAACTTCCTACCTGATCCAGAAGCGGGAGACGAAGCAATCTATCCCGAGGACCCAAATCTCCCTCGCTACACACAGAGTGGGCTGCAGATACCCGGACTCGTCATCGCCGTCCACAGAGCATCGCCGCCAAAGGAGCCTGCCACTGTTAAGCAGGCTCTTGGGGGGTGCACAGGGAAAAATGGCGCGAAGCCATGGACAGGGAATTAAAGGCGCTGGAAGACAGAAACACCTGGATGATAGTACCCATCGGAGTGGCACGCAACAAAACTATCCTCACGGGAAAGTGGGTCTTCCGCGTGAAGTCAAAAGCTGACGGAACAATTGACAAGTTCAAGGCACGATGGGTCGTGCGCGGCTTCGATCAAGAGCACGGACAAGATTTCATCGAGACCTTCGCGCCGGTCAGCCGACATACCTATCTGCGAATCCTTCTCGCAATAGCCGCCATGAAGCGGAAGAAGCTCCGCCAAATCGACGTGGCTAACGCGTTCCTCTACGCTCCCGTCTACGCCGAGATCTTCGTCGAGCAACCACACGGATCCGACACAAACCCTAATCAAGTCTGTCAGCTGCTAAAGTCCCTGTACGGCATCAAGCAAGCTCCGCGGCTGTAGCAACAGTACCCACATGCCCGATTAATCCGCATCGGCTTTCGGCAATCACCACACGACCAGGTTATGTACCAACTTACGAAGGAAGCCGAGTACATCTTACTGATCGTGTATGTAGACAACATGCTCTACATAGGCTCTACCGACGGCATCACCAACTGGTTTGAAGGGGAGCTGCAACAGGATCTCTCACTCACGGTTTCTTCTACCGTGACTCAGTACCTTGGACTCAACATACTCGACGGAGAGAGCGCGATCTACCTCAGCGCCGCAAAATACGCTGACACAATCGCCAAACGCTTTGGATTAACGCCAGCCGTCATCTCCACGCCCTATCGCTACACCGCCGGAAATCACCAGGAAAAATCTAACCTGCTCGGACTTGCCGGACTACGCGACTACCAACGAAAACTGGGCTGCCTGCTCTTCGCAGCTGTTACCTGCCGACCGGACCTGTAATACTCAGCAAGTCAGCTTTCTACCTACCTCAAGCGGCCCGAAGCAGAGCACATTGCCGAACTCGACCGCGCCTTACACTACCTCGTCAACACACCAACGATCGGCCCAACCTACCACAAGACCAGAACCACTACTCCAACGCTAATCGGCTACGTGGATGCTGACCACGCAGGCGATTCTGATAGCACGCGATCACGCAACGGCTACATCTATCGACTCGAGCCCGTCTGTCCTATCTCGTGGCAGTTGAGTAAGCAAGAACTAATAGCTCTCTCTCCTCTGCTGAAGTTGAATACATAGCACTCTGCTCAGCCACCAAGGAAGGACTGTACCTTCGCGAACTACTAGAAGAAGCAAAGCTGTCACAGTTACCCAGCTTCTCCCTCTTCTGCGACAACTAATCTGCAATTCGCATAGCGAACAAGAGTGGGTTCGCGAACCGAAAGAAGCACATTGCCCTGCGCTATTTCTTTGTGAAGGACGAGATCGAGAAAGGGAGACTCGAGCTATCCTATTGTCCCATGTCCGAGATGGCAGCAGACTACTTGACCAAGAAACTCGGAAAGTAGAAGTTTGAGTACTGCATGCTGCTGACTGGGCAAGGCCACGTCATCAACAACGAAGGCGACGACACTCCAGAAGTGAAGGGGAGTGCTGGAAACATATAGTTCGCACTTCTGATGTGTCGAATACTACAACGAAAGCGAAGCGAACTATAGCGAAACAACAGCGAGTCAACCAAAGCGGTTGACAGAAAGACAACAACAAGAGGTTGAGTGAAGGTCAAAGGTCAACGACCTTTGACTCGCCGAAGGCAGCGCGACAGCAAGGACACATAACTGACTCGATATTCGAGTTATCCGAGTCGTCGCTGTATCGAACCGAAACAGCAGTTACAGTTAGTTGAACCTTTCGTATTCTTTGTAATCATATAAAAGCTTGTATCTCTTTGTTATTATCAACTTATCTTGTTCTCACACACCAGTGCAAGGTGGTTCAATCAGTTTACTTATACGCTTCCGCTAATACATCACTACTCTGAGACTTTAGTCCTGAAAACGATCCTAAGGGCTTTTCTCAGCCCAACAACTGCTCAATAGCGACTCAGTTATGTCTCCTTGCTGTCGCGCTGCTTTTCGGCGAGTCAAAGGTCGCTGACCTTTGACCTTCACTTAACCTCTTGCTATTGTCTTTCTGTCAACCGCTTTGGTTGACTCGCTGTTACTTCGCTATAGTTCGATTCGCTTGCGTTGTAGCGCTTGACACATCAGAAGCGCAAACTATATGTTTCCAACAATAATATATATGTTTATTGATTCTAAAGCGACCGTGGGAATCCACTCATGTAAGAACTCCACAACCAGAGGTGGCCTATAGATTAAAGGTATATCTCAGCTGACAAGCATGCGATGCTCTGTTTTTATGCCTTTGTAAATGCAAAATGTCGACGCTTTTCTGCCAACCTGCCCCTAGATAATTAAGGATACTCTAACCAATTCTAGGCCCTGGACATAGGTTTTGCTCATGCAGTGTGGATCTGTGTTTATGAAAAAGAAAGGCATGTTATAGTTACAGGACACATAGGCTTGTACAGTTGTCCGCACATCGATAGGAACAAGCTGACATGACACAAGTTTGTTGCCCATCACTGTGGCTGCTCCTGGCCTTCACAATCCCTTGAAAACACACACGTGAAATCCCCCGTGCCGCCCACTATCCGCACAAAGTCATTCCGGCAGAACAGCCCGGCATCCCGCGCCACACAGCGCTCCCCAAACCGCCTCTCCGCCCACCCTGGCAGCTCCTCCGGCCGCACCACCTCCCCCATGCCCCCCCGCCCTGCCGCCACCACCTCCCTCGCCGTGCCAAGTATCACTCTCAGGTCGCTCAAATCCTCCTCTGTGAGCTCCACCCGCCGCCGGTGCGTGAAATACTCCTTGCACTCGGGATGCCCGTGCGTGCAGTCGTACAAGCTCAGCCCGTCCACCTCAGCGCGGTCCCCTGCCTGGAAGCTTCCTCGGCGGCACATCTTCATGAAGTAGGGGAGGCCGGCACTTAAAGCCATGGCGTAGTAGGTCTCGTGCAGCACGTGGTACGGCATGATCTCCACCACTGCCGTGGTGCGCCGTGCAAAGAGCGGCGGGTTGGCGAGCGCGGCGCCGTGCAGGGAGAGGATGATGTCGGCCGACTGGATGGCGTCAAACTGCTGCTTGAAGGTCAGCTGGCTCAGCTCCGCCATGCTCACCTGGTGGGAGGGATTAGGGGACGGGGGGATGGGGGAGGTGGGGAAGGGGGAGGGGGGAGGGTGCGCATGGAGAGAAATATTAGAAAGACGCCTCAGAAAGTGGTGCTGGAAGGTCAGCTGGCCCAGCTTCGCCCTGCTCACCTGGTGTGAGGGGAGGGTGTTGGGGCAGACGAGCACGCATGCGAATTATGGACACTGTGTGGAACTGCATACATGAGCAGCAGAGGTGGGAGGGTGATGATACAGGAAAGGCTAGTGCTGGCTCCGCCGGGGCTAGGGTCACAAGGAACCGCCATTTTTGTTCGGCTGTGCTACCTCTCACGTCATATAAGACATGTGCACTCCACCCTCTATGCACCCTCAACACCACACGCCATGCCCATTCTCATTGTCCCGTGTTGATCTCCTATCACCCGCTCACCTCCATGTGCATCTCTGCCATCAGTCGCAGCAGGGCCTCACATGGCTGGGTGCTGACTGAGCTCCCCCAGGCGAGTTATGAGTCATGAATCATGAGGCAATGGATTACAACTCGCACCTCCATGTTCATCTCCTCCATCACTCGCAGCAGCGCCTCATGGCTGTCCGGCAGGAAAGTGCGGCGCTGCCTCAGCTCCGCCCCCAGGCGAGTGATGTACAGCACGCGCGCCCGCCACCCCTGCGCGCCCTCCGGCCCCCACAGCACCGCGGGGGGCGGCTGCAGGCGCAGCTTCACCCGCAGGTGGCGCTGCAGGTAGCCGGCCTGGGCGGGCGACGAGGGGAACACCTGGCCCTGTTGGGGGGAGGGGAAGAGGGGCCTTCTGAGTCAATTCTAAAGCTTGCAGTGCAGAGGTGGCTCTGTGGGGAAGAATAGAGGGAGGGCGATAGAACCCCAAAGAGATTGAAGCTCAAGTTGCTGGGAGGGAGGGTGGATGGCACGTGAGAGGCAGGTTGCTGTGCTCGTGGCACTGCTGGTAGCCTGGCAGCACCGGGGAGGAGAGGGTGCTTGGGCGTGCAGGGAGGGAGGGCGGCACACGTATTCTGAATGAGCCCGCACGTGCCCCAGCAGGAGGCTCCACACACAGCTGTTTGCGCAGGTGGCGCTGCAGCAGGGCTAGTCCAGCTGCAGAGGGGAGGTGGTTCGGACTAGCCTTGCTGCGAGGGGAGGTGAACACATGGGGAAGCTTGATTGCGCTTGATGCGACTTGGTGCGACTTGGTGCGACTTGGAGAACACATGGGAAGGCTGGCTGAACAAGCGATGAAGGCTATGCTGTGACGTGCTGTGTTGCGCTGTGCTGTGCAGTGCTAAGTGGACAGTCATGTGGGCCGCAGCCGCAGTGTACAGCCACGTGAAACCAGAGAAGGGTGAAACCAGAGAAGGGTGAGCGCGGTGCACAGAGAAGGGTGAGCGCGGTGCACAGAGGAGTGCTGGCAGTGACATGTGCATGCATGGAAGTTGGGAGGTGAGGATGGGACATGGAGAGAATGAGGAAGATAGGGAGGGAGGGAAGAAGGGAGGACGATATCCGATTCCAACTCACATGAAAGCAAATCTGGAATACCTGAGAGTTAACCTGGGACACCTGAGAATCCACCAGTGACACCTGAAGCCCTGGGGCACGTTGGGCTCACCTTGAGTATCCCAGGCAGCAGCACCCGCTGGAAGCACAGCGGCTCCTCCTCCGTGGCGCGGCGCCACGCCCCCTCAAACTCCACCAGCCCGTTCGCCATCGCCTCGTCTCCCAGCGTGCGGTGCTCGTGCCTGCCTTGCCAGGGGGCCGTGGGGTTGGTGGGGGTGGTGGGGGTGGTGGGGAGGACAGGGTGGAAACGAGGGTAGTGGGGGCTGTGGGGTGAGAGGATTGGGAGGAGAGGAAGGCTTTATGGAAGCTCTGGAAACCCAAAAACGGGCAGGTCTGAAAGCAGGCCAGAAGCCAGGGCAATGCAGTACTACGGTAAAACGTACAGGCTAAAACTGAAGCAGAATATAAAGGAGCTTAAAAGTTAGCTCTGGAGTAGATCAACAACGGATATATGGTAATGAGCCAGGACAGGGCAGTGTTCGGTAGAGAAGTGGAGCATAGTGTGTCAATCCCCTCCTGTCACTGCACCTGCTGCAGCGCATCACTGGGCAGTGCGGCGTGCCAGAGGTTGCCGCCTCTCCGCTCCCATTGGCTCACCACTCCTGCCCACCTTCAACCTCACCGCCCCATTCTCATTCTCAATCCCACCTGACCTCTGCGCGCCTGGCCGTCCTCTCACCGCGCTTGTGCCCTTGGTGCAACTGCAACAGCCACTCTCCACATCACTTCCACCCACACTCTCACTCACCTAGCTCTCACCCTCACTCTCACCTGCACACGCAAAGTCTCATTTCAACTGGTCAAGTACAAGATTTATCTTCCAAGAAGTTTACATCATAAGAAGTGAATCACATCACATTCTAGGGTGGGGGGGCTGGGAACTTCAAAATCGAAAGTTCGAAAATGAAAACGTGGGTGAAGGCCAAATGGCCTTCGCCCCCTCTTTTTTATCGAAAAGAGAAGGACTAACGTTTCGCTGAAGTCTTTTCTTCGGTACAATTCGCTTCGCTTTGCACAATACACAATTTTGGAAAATGTTACACACTTTCAATATTTATATATTGTGAAAGCATGCGATTTGCAACTGGGTCTTCTGAGACATGGAGAGGGGCGCTTGGCGGTGCCTCGTGAGGGCGCGATGATGCTGCGAGGGGGATGGAGCGTGATCTTCATCTTGGAGGCTTCGAGATGCTGCGATAAGGTGGTCGTGCGAGATGGTCACGTAAAGGTCCTTCGCCGTCTCGCTTCGCCAACGCCCAAGTTCGAAAATGTGATCAGGGACGCCTGCACTGGCAGCGACCGTAGCTGCTCCTTTGCGGAAGGAGTGGGTGCCAAGGTGGGTGTGGTCGATTCCGGCAGCTTCGAAGGCTTGCAAGCACCATGCACGGTTGTGGGGTATGATGGAGCTGTGTCTTGTGAGGACGGCGGTGAGAAGCGGCGAAACACACGAATTAGCAGCCCTGACGTGTTGGGCCCGTATTCCGCTAGCTGGATGAAATGGCGGGTGCACCGCACTGGGCAGAACGGCCCGTCTAATGTAGCAAGGTACCAACCTTGCTAGTCACTTTCCTACTTGACAGCGTTGCGCTGTGCTTTTCAGGTGCATGAGTAGTTTGGGTAAAAGTTGGAGGTTCTTGCTTAAGGGAGAAAAAAAAAAAAACCGAAGGTGCTGAGAGGGGAAGAGGAAGAGTGTGGAGGTGTACGAAGGGAGAGAAAATCTGTGTGATGTATTGATGCAGAGCAGAGCGGAGAAGAGGCAGGCAGGGAGGTGGGAAAGGCAACAACACAACTTTGCACTGCTCGAAACAGCAGCTGCCATTGAGCATACTCTGAGACAGTGCGTACGCTTTGGGAAACACGTATGAGAAGAGGAGAGGGAGAAGTGGGAGGTGGCGGGATGTACATCCGTGGTGCGAGGAGATAGGTGAGCGATTTAGCAAGGGCTGAGATGAGGGCAAGCAGAAGAAGAGCACGTACAGCTGAGAGGAGGTGTGCATCTGTGGCGTGAGGAGAGGCGTGAGGGCAAACTCAATGAGCGCCTGTAGCACCAACGCGTGGATGGCGTAGCCGCCCCCCATGCGCCACCTGCCGTGTTGCAGGGTGAGGGGGCAGAACGGAATAAGGTGGAATGAGGAGAAGGTGGATGGATGGTGCAGAAGCAGCGGTGGCTCAGATGAACTCGTTGGCAGTGCTATTGCACTCTGATCAACACTCTGGCATCACTCTGATCAACACTCTGGCATCACTCTGATCAACACTCTGGCATCACTCTGATCAACACTCTGGCATCACTCTGATCAACACTCTGGCATCACTCTATGTAGCTCTACATAGTACACTCCTTCCAAGGCGGCTCGTGCAGCACTTGGGCATCATCCCAATCCTCACATGATTCACGCATCACCATTCCCCGATGGGTGGACCGTGTGCCGGTGCGGACTCGATCGAGTGCAGCACTGATATGCAGTGCACACTGGATATCACTGTGCGGGTGCCGTGCAGGGTAGCGTACCGTTCGAGCGTGAAGTCGTCGCGCGGCAGCATGAAGCGCGCCACGAGGGGGTGCAGCACGGGCGGGTCCGTGAAGTTGTTGGCCAGCAGCAGCGTGAACGCCTTGCCTGGTGGCCGGGGGGACAGGTGGACGAAAGAGGGGGTTGGGAGTGCAGAAGACAAGAGGGCTGCTGGCAGCACTGGTACGTCCGTGACGTTGGTGGCCAGCAAGAGAGTGCACGCCTTGCCTGGTGGCCGGGGGGTGGAGAGGAGAGGAGAGGAGAGGAGAGGAGAGGAGAGGAGAGGAGCGGGGAGGAGAGGTTGGGGAGCCTGGCTAGATACACAAAGAACAAGCGCGTGGAAGAGAGCATGGAGGAAAGGGTGTGTGGGAAAGGGTGTGTGGGAAAGGGTGCGCACCAAAGTGTATGGCAGAAATGTGTGGGCAGTGCGTGGGGGACAGAAGGTGAGGGGACAGAAGGTGAGGGGACAGAAGGTGAGGGGACAGGACAGAAGGTGAGGGGCTGCCGCAGAAGTTGTGCAGGAACAGAGAACAGGCCCAGGGGGGTGACGGACAGGCGAGAGAGGGTGAAAGGGGGAGAGGAAACTGTAAGACGGAGATGATGGGAATCATGATGGGCGGGCATGATGGGCGGGCATCATGGGCGGGCATCATGGGCGGGCATAATCCACACACAAGCCACGCACCTATGAAGTGAGCCACGTTCACGGCCTGGTAGTCAAACCGCTGCAACAGCGTGAGCCCAAACCGCCACTCCACTCGCCGCCGCGTCTCCAGCCACCCCTTCCCCTCCACCGCCCCCTCTCCCCCCTCTTCCCCCCCTCCTTCCCCCCCTCCTCCCCCGCCTCCCCCAGCAGCCCGGAGGTGCACGAGCGAGTTGACGGCCTCGTCTGTGACCACGCGCAGCGCCTCGCTGAACTCCACCGCCTTGTGGCACCCCACCGCCCGCAGGATGGGCTTGCCCTCGTTGGGGGGCGGCGGGGCGTGCTCCCTCGCTGCCTCGCACTGTGGCTGCCCCAGCGAGATCATCTGCCGTTGTGTGTGCAGGGCGAATTGGAGAGAGGGAGCGGAGCAGCATGAAGGAATGGCGCACACGGGCGAGAAGAGGCAGAGACATTACGTTTTTGAGGATATGGATGGGAGAGGCCATCCAGATACATGTGGGTTGCAATCCTCTTGCAAAACACCCACCCCACCTCTTGCCCGTTCCAGCACATGGGCTCACTCTCGCCCAAGAAGCACAAGAAGCAGAGGTTCCACCCAACCCACCTGCTGCCCGTTCCAGCACATGGGGCTGCACCCACCTGCTGGCCGTTCCAGCACATGGGCGAGCAAAGGCAGAGGTTCTGCGAGCAGCAGTAGTTGTTGCGGATGTGGTAGCACGAGCACCCCGTGCGCTGCTGACTCAGCGCCGCCACGTCAGCGCTGCTATCAAATGACGCCAGCAGATCCTCAACCTGAGCAGTGGAGGTGAGCAGGGGAGGTGAGCAGGAGAGATGCCCCGAAAGTATGGGGAGTGGGAAAACAACACGAAAGTGATGATGAATAGAAGGAGTGCATCGAGGGTTGGCATGATGGTAGCAGTGCACTTTCCAGCGCCTGCACTTTCCAGCGCCTGCACATCAGATCCAAGCGGTGGCCTCAGAGGTGCCATGTCAGCGTGCTTCTCAAATCGCGGCAGCCAGGAGTGCGGGGATTGAAAAGCACAAGGAGAGGTGAGAGAGCAGCGCAGTGGGATGTTGAAGGTGATGGCGCGAAGAGTGAGGGAGTGAGGCATTGAGGGGAGTGAGGGAGTGCGGGAGTGAGAGACTGAGGAGTGAAGGAGTGAGGGAGTAAAGAAGTTGTGATGGCTCTACCAAAAGGAGCGAGTTTGGGGGGTTGGGCGGAGGGAGGAGGGGAGGTGGTGGGGGGACGGGGCATGCACGGATGAACGGGCTTCTTGTGGGAGGAGGTGCCAGGTGGGGGCGACAAGGGGGATGGGGGCGACAAGGGGGGTGGGGGCGACAAGGGGGGTGGGGGCGACAAGGGGGGTGGGAGCGACAAGGGGGGTGGGGGCGACAAGGGGGGTGGGAGCGACAAGGGGGGTGGGGGCGACAAGGGGGGTGGGGGCGACAAGGGGGATGGGGGCGACAAGGGGGGTGGGGGCGACAAGGGGGGTGGGGGCGACAAGGGGGGTGGGAGCGACAAGGGGGGTGGGGGCGACAAGGGGGGTGGGGGCGACAAGGGGGGTGGGGGCGACAAGGGGGGTGGGGGCGACAAGGGGGGTGGGGGCGACAAGGGGGGTGGGGGCGACAAGGGGGGTGGGGGCGACAAGGGGGGTGGGAGCGACAAGGGGGGTGGGGGCGACAAGGGGGGTGGGGGCGACAAGGGGGGTGGGGGCGACAAGGGGGGTGGGGGCGACAAGGGGGGTGGGGGCGACAAGGGGGATGGGGGCGACAAGGGGTGTGGGGGCGACAAGGGGGGTGGGGGCGACAAGGGGGGTGGGGGCGACAAGGGGTGTGGGGGCGACAAGGGGGGTGGGGGCGACAAGGGGGGTGGGGGCGACAAGGGGGGTGGGGGCGACAAGGGGGGTGGGGGCGACAAGGGGGGTGGGGGCGACAAGGGAGGGGCGTGGTGGATGAGAAGGCAGGGGAGAGGAGAAGAGGGACGGGTGAAGGGGAGAAACAGAGGGGGTCAACGGAATGGGAAGGTTGGGGAAGGGGGAGGGGCGAGCGCTGTGAGGGGTTGTTTGAAGTCGACTCAAAAGGCGCACGAGGGCGACTGCGCGCGGGGCGACGCGCGAATTCCCATCGGTGAAGTAGGGAAGGCGAGCGGGGAGGACGGGAAGGACGGGGGAAAGGGGTTGGAGGGGAGCGGGTGTGGGTGGTAGAAGGGTGTGCGGCGAGGCAATGCACGTTTCCTTGCCACAGGGCCATCACATCCACCTTTCACCACCCGCCAATCACCACCCGCCAATCACCATCCCCCACGTACGCGCTGTCGGAAAGCGTCCTCCATCTCGGGGTGCTTCCGCGGCCGCTCGCGAATCAGCGCGCCCACCCGCGCCACGCCGTACCCGCGTGACGCGCGCGCGCACGTATCATGTGGCGGGCTGATGTGCCGGTTCGGCGAGGGGTGGAGGAGAAGAAGCGCGAGAAGCAAAGCGCGGAGGCAGCTGAGGCGCATCGGGAGATGGGAGCGATGGAGCATTCGATCGGAGTGCGGCTCGCGGCGAGGAGGTGTGAGCTGGCAGTGTGTGTGGCGACGCCATGGCGTCATGCTGAACAGCCGTGTCTGTTTCTGCGAGCGCCGTTTCGACTGGCTTCAGTCGCGATCGATGTTTCTGTGCATAGCGCGGTGCGTTTCGATTACAAGTCTCGCGGATTCCGAAGTTACGCTTGAGGCACTTGAAACATCACAAACGGTTAGTGCGTTATTAGGAACTTGGACTGTACAATGGTAGCATACTTACTGCCTACACAATGGTTGTTTCAGTATGTATACATGCCGAACTGTATTTTAACCAACCAAAAAAGGTCGTTTCACTTACTTTTAGGACACCTCATATCTCAAGGTGCTACTGGTGTCACCGTCAGATACATACACATACGACTTACTACACTCTGCTGGAAGCTACTGTAATAACTCAGATGTGTCACCGCTAGCATTTCTTTGTTGTAAAACACACAGCAGCACATGGCATGCGGGTGGGGTGTATGAGGGTGCAAGGCTGCGAGCGAGGCTATGAGGGAGGGGCCTTGACCTCGAGCAGCTCCACTGTGAGCTGGATGGTGGCGCCCGGCTGGCACATGGGGGTGGGGTGGGGTGGGGTGGGGTGGGGAGCAGGAGGAGAGTAAGGGTGAAGCGGTGACGGTGGCATGGGCATGAGCATGGACCCATGACATGCTGGCGCGCGATAGAATGGATGCCAGGGCATGGTATGTCACAGCATGGTATGGTAAAGGTGTGGAACATTTGGGATATTTTCCAAATGAATGGTACGGTTCGAAAGAGTACCACTCTGAAACGAACGAAGAACTTTCTTCAGCATAGCGTTTATTAAAATGACAAATTTCAACCGTTCAGGCAGTACAGTTCGTTTGGAGCATTTCCCGGGTGTTCCAAGCCCTAAAGCATGGTTTGTTTTACTATGGTATGGTATGGTATGGTATGGTATGGTATGGTATGGTATGGTATGGTATGGTATGGTATGGTATGGTATGGTAGTAGGTAAGGTAAGGTAAGGTAAGGTAAGGTAAGGTAAGGTAAGGTAAGGTAAGGTAAGGTAAGGTAAGGTAAGGTAAGGTATGGTATGGTATGGTATGGTATGGTATGGTATGGTATGGTATGGTATGGTAAGGTAAGGTAAGGTAAGGTAAGGTAAGGTAAGGTATGGTATGGTATGGTATGGTATGGTATGGTATGGTATGGTATGGTAAGGTAAGGTAAGGTAAGGTAAGGTAAGGTATGGTATGGTATGGTATGGTATGGTATGGTATGGTATGGTATGGTATGGTATGGTATGGTATGGTATGGTATGGTATGGCATGGTATGGTATGGTGTGGTATGGTATGGTATGGTATGGTATGGTATGGTATGGTATGTATGGCATGGCATTGGGTGGAATGGCATGGCATGTTATGGCACGGCATGGCATTGGGTGGAATGGCATGGCATGTTATGGCACGGAATGGCATCTCTCATGCTTTTACACGGCATGATTTGGCATGGTGTGGTATGCCATACTATGCCATGGCATTGCATGGTTTGGCATGGCATGGTTTGACACAGCATGTTTTGAAATGACGTGGTATGATATTTAGTATGGATGGCAAACCATGGCCAGGCATGGCACGCATGGCATGGTGATGGAGCTCACAGGGATTTCAGCGAAGCCCTTGTCACCGTAACCTTGCTCCGGCGGCACAATCACTGTGCGCTGTGGGGGAGACAGAGCAGATGCGAGGGAGTGAGAGAAATAAGAGGGGATGCAAGGATGAGGGGATGCAAGAAGAGAATGAAAGCAGTAGGGATGCGCGGGGTGTGGCTCGCATGTACTGCACTGTTTTGCCCAAGCAGGTGTGGCTCGCATGTACTGCATTGTTTTGCCCAAGCAGGTGTGGCTCGCATGTACTGCATTGTTTTGCCCAAGCAGGTGTGGCTCGCATGTACTGCATTGTTTTGCCCAGCAGGTGTGGCTCGCATGTACTGCATTGTTTTGCCCAGCAGGTGTGGCTCTCATGTACTGCACTGTTTTGCCCAAGTCCCTGAAAGTGTATTGGGCGACACGGGGTGCTTCTCTCCCTCACCCCCCTTCCCTCACCTTGCCGCCCTCACCCCCTTTCCCTCACCTTGCCGCCCTCACCCCCTTTCCCTCACCTTGCCGCCCTCACTCCCTTTCCCTCACCTTGCCGCCCTCACCCCCTTTCCCTCACCTTGCCGCCCTCACCCCCTTTCCCTCACCTTGCCGCCCTCGCGCATGCCCTCCACCACGCTGTAGAGCGCGCGGGGCGGTTTGGGGGCCGCCTGCGCGGAGAAGAGCCCGTTGGCCGACTCCGCGTACTCACGCTTCCTCTCCGCGCCCGGCTTGGCGCCTAGTGAGAACTCGTATGGCTGGGGGAGAGAGGTGGGGGTGTGGGGATGTGGGGGGAGTATGGGGGGAAAAAGTGGATAAGAACAAGCGGGATGAGTGGTGTGGACTTGCGTTGTCGCGCTTCTTCTCCGCTCCTGGCTTGACGCCCAGGGAGAACTCGTACGGCTGGGGGGGGAGGGGAAGGGGGGGGGAGGAGTGTAAACGTGTGAGTAGGGTGAGTGGCATGGACTTCGTTCCCCGCTTCCTCTCCACGCCCGGCTTGGCGCCGAGTGAAAGTTCGTACGGCTGGGGGCGAGGGGGAGTGGGAAGGGGGAGGGAGAAGTGGATGCTATTATCTCTCTTTTCCGTGCCTGGCTTTGCCGCCCAGGGCGAACTTGGAGGAAGCTGGGAGCACCTGGGGGGGGGGAGAGGGGGGGAGAAGGGAAGGGGAGCAGGAGGGGCGGATTGGAGAGGGCCCGTTTGTGGCAAGAGGAGTGGGGTGGGGCAGTGAGGAAGTGAAAAGGAAGAGCCCGTGGTGGTTGGGGGTGGGATTCGAAGGGGGAGCAGGCCTGCCGAAAGCTAGACTGAGAGGAAGAACACACAGTCAAGGGCTGGACAAAACGGAAACGATGTTACAGTGAGCAACGGGGCCCGATGGTTTATCACTGTGTTGCTCATCAGGTAGAGAATGACCACCCTGCGACACGACTCCGTTGCCCTGCGATATGATTTGGCTGCATGGAAGATATGATTCTGCGGGCGCACCTGGGAGATGACGCGGTTGCCGCCCAGCAGCTTGGACTGACGGCTGGACACCACCGTGAGGCTGCGATACGTCACATCAAAGTGCACCTGGGGGGGGGGGGAGAGGGGGGGGAGGGGAAGGGGGGAGGGCCGGAGGAGGCGTGGGAGGAGGGGAGGGTTGACTAAGAACACACTTGGACTGGCGGGTGGACACCACCATCAGGCTGCGGTAGGTCACGTCAAAATGCACCTGGGGGGAGTGGGGAGTGGGGAGGGGGGAGGGGGGAAGGGGTGAGGAGGGGTTGGGGAAGAGAATCGTGGGGAGAGTGAGAGTCAGGAGGGTGGGACGGAAAAGCGGAAAGTGTGAGACAGTCGGCGTGGTGGAGTGGAGTGGGGACGATGCGTGGAGAAGCGTGAGGAGTAGGGTAGAGGAGGGAGGGGTGTGGCGGGCGAGCTGAGACGCGCGTGCATGTGGAGCGAAACCGCTTATTTGCTTGTCCTGGAGCAGCATGGCTGCACTTGCATGAGCTGTGCAGCAGTGATGCACGCCTGGCATGTTGTGCCTTTCGTCTCTCCTCCCCCTCCTCTCTCCCCCCTCGCCCCATCGTCCCACCCTTCCCCTCCCCCCCCTTCCCTCGCCCCCCCTCACCACGACGGGGTCGCCCTGCTCCGCCAGCCTGCCCTTGCCCGCCGCCACGTCGTAGAAGCGCAAGCCGCTCTCTGCCGCACCCACACACCGGCGGGGGAAAGGGGAGGGGAGGGAAGAGAGGGGGGGAGGAAGACGGGATGGGAGGGAATGAATGTCCCGCGCGTGGTGTGGTGCGTGTGCTGCGCCTGTTGGCGCTACTCTGGAGTGCGAGCAGCAGCGCTGGGATGGCCGCACGGAGCGTTGGGCGAGTGAAGCCCAGAAAGCACCGAGCTATCCGCCGTCCCTCAGACGCCTCTCGCCCTACCGCCCTCTGCACTCACCGCCCTGCGCGCTCACCGCCCTGCGCGCTCACCGCCCTCCGCACTCACCGCCCTCCGCACTCACCGCCCTCCGCACTCACCGCCCTCCGCACTCACCGCCCTCCGCACTCACCGCCCTCTGCACTCACCGCCCTTCGCACTCACCGCCCTCTTGGTACATCTCCTCGGGAATGTCGATCCTCGTCCGCCTTTCCCGCGCCATTGCCTCGTCGGCGCCGCCGTTTCCGGAACCGAAGAGCGAATCCAGCGCCGGCAGCAATGCGAGCGACGACAGCACGGCGCGTCTCGTCACGCTGACGTCATCGTTCGGGTTAGACGTAACGTTGCGGGTACTCGAGATGGAATCCGCGGCTTGTGTTCGCACGGGTTCGCGAAGTGTCGCGGCATTCGCGAATTCGGCACTAGCTTGACATGTAACAGTTGAAGCGCCGGTCGACAGGCGCTGGTTAGCAGAGAGAGGTTGAGTGATGGTGTCCAGTCGGGTAACCAGCCGCAATGCGGGTTTCAACGAAACGAGCGACATAGTCAATGGCTGGACACCCGAACGTATAGCGGTGGTACCTTGGCTCGCTCAAATGAGGGTGTGGTGGATTGAGCGGAAGCAGAGAAACGACGGACGAGTGGGGTGAAGGGTTATGTGGGGAGGTATTTTTAGATTGCGGCAGTGGGGGGAGCAGGGTAGGCGAGGCGGTGCCTAGTTGCAGATTGCAAGCGACGAACTCCGAGAATGGCGACCGCTGTTGCGACGCTGCGAAATTAGCTTACATCGAAAACACATTATTCGCTTGCTGGGCCGCACGACACATTTCGCCGACGACGACATTTCTTCCACCAGCCGCTCGTTCGAAAGATGCTTCGTCGAAACAATGCCACGCCAAACCTGACCACTGTTGACGTGGCAGATTGAACTTCTGAGGATTGAGGGGTCGCCACGACGTCAAGTGGTAGGGAAGTTGGTTGGCAGAGCGGCAGAGCAGCCACGCCAGCAAGATCAGCGTGCTGAAACTTCCTCACCGTTTATGGTATGATCTGGGAACCATACAGTTACACACGTTATGGCAATTTATTAAAAGTTCTGAGGAACAACGGAGTTGATTAAGCAAGTGAATGGTTCACCGCACCTTCGTTCTGTGTTGATGTAATGTTAGAGAGATGCATCACAATGTCCACTCTGTACCCGGATCTCAGCAGTAAAATTGATGCATGGATAATTGTTCTCAATTCACTTTGATTGCTCCCTAAGGCCAAGAGGAGCAATACCAATACCCAACCCACCCATACTATTGAACCTTTCTCTAAGAGTTTACCAGCTGCTTTGACACTCAACGACCATGTCATGGGAGGGTGGGGTGAACAGCTTGAAGGATCTTCAGAGCAGTCACTGAAATAATCAGGGGGCCGAAGAGAACCCAAGGGAGGGGGAAGGGGGAATGAGGAAAAGGTAATGATTAAAGAACATGGTGTGATGGCACACCATGGAATCCCACGGACAGAGAAGGGGGAGAATGTGACAGGAAGGAGATATGAAAGGAGGGAGATATGGAATAGAGACGAACATCTGCGAGTCCGCCGAAATGCGGTTCGCCTTCTTGATGCCCGCTACACACCTGCTCGCACACACCGCACACGGTGGGCAGCACATGAGTGTGGAGGGTTGGACACAGGATACGTGCATGAAATGATTCGATTCGATGCAGAAAATGGACGTGCGCTTGGGAAGGATCGGCGGGAAGGAGAGTGATGAGGTGCACACGAGGCGGGCATGCTAGACGGCGGGAGGGCGGGTGAGGAAGCATCTTGCACAGACTGACGCGAGCATGCTGCGATGCGACGCACTGACTGCGTGCTCATGTGGCATGTGGGTTTTCGGGAAGGCCAAACACAGCTATTGCAGGAGTAGAACCTTCTACAGCGAGATGCGAGAGACAAAGATCATCGGACTGATAGCAGCGGAGAGCAATGCTTTAGTTCCGCGCAGAAAGGCAGAGGTGAGGGAAACACACGAGACACAGCGGTAACGACGAGAATATTTAAGTGGGGCACGAGGAGAGCGAGGCGTAGCGCACCTGGGCGGCATAGCGGATGAGGATGGCGGCGAGGGTGTGGAAGCGAGTCACCTCGTGCAGCACGCACTGCTGCCCGCCATCCCAGCGCGCGGCGGGAGACACGCTCGGCTCGGCGCCAGGGGAGAAGCCCTGCCTAAGGACATCTGCACGAGCCCCGTGTGACGACCGGGATCTTCAGTGTGAACAACATGCGCCGATTCAGGTCAACGCTTACGCGCTGTATATCACGCTAGGCATGAACCCGTGGTCGTGCGTTTGGACATCCCTCAACCTCTGAAACCTGGGGGGGACGAGAAGAGAGGGGAGAGGGATGGGAGGAGTTAGGGAGAGGGGCATAGGGTAAAGAAGGGATGAGAGAGGGAAGAGGAGATACAGGGAAGGGGAGGGAAAGAGGGGAGAGGGGAGAGATGGAAGAGGGGAGAGAGGGAAGAGGGGAGAGAGGGAAGAGGGGAGAGAGGGTAGAGGAGAGAGAGGGACGAGGGGAGAGAGGGACGAGGGGAGCGAGGGAAGAGGGGAGAGAGGGAAGAGGGGAGCGAGGGAAGAGGGGAGAGAGGGAAGGGAGGAGATTGGACGAGTTGGGAGATGGTAAGCAGTAAAGTCTCGAACTGGGAAAGTGAGGGGAAGTAGCGGAAAATTTGAGGGTAAGAAGAGCGGAAGCTGGAGGGGGGATGAGGGGAATCAGAGGGCGAGATGAGGGGAAGAGAGAAAGAATCAGGGGAAGCAGCAAGGGAAATGAGGGAAAGAAGGGAGGGGAAGCGAGAAATGAGGGGACACAGAGGGGGAAATGAGGGGAAGCAGGGGGGGAAGTGAGGGAAAGCAGGAGCGGAAATGAGGGGAAGAGGGGAAGTAAGGGAAAGCAGGGGGGGAATCAGGGGAAGCAGCGGGGGGAATGAGGGGAAGCAGGGGGTGGGGGGAATGAGGGGAAGTACGGGGGGAAATCAGGGAAAGAAAGGGGGGAAATGAGGGAAGACAGAGGGGGGGGTGGGGGGACAGGTGAAGCAAGGGGGAAATGAGGGGAAGCAGGAGGGGAAATGGGGGGAAGCAAGGGTGAAATCAGGGGAGGCAAGGGGGGAAATGAGGGGAAACAAGAGGAGGGGGCGAGAGATTTAGGGGTGAAAAAATTAGGGGAAGCAGGGGGGGGGGGGGGAAGCAGTGGGGGAAAGAGGGGAAGAACGGGAAAAAATCAGGGGAAGCAAGAAATGAGGGGAAGCAGGGGGTGATTGACGGGAATCAGGGGGGAAATGCGTGGAAGCAGGAGAAGAAGTGAGGAGAAGTAGGCTGTGGGGGGTGCGGAGAGTCACTCTACAACGGTAGTGAGCTAGACTACGGGGGTTGGCACGAACTACTAGAGGTGATCGTAGCTTTGCTTGGTTCCTTAGTGCTTGCACATTCGCGGGAGAAATCGGCAAGAGTTTTCACTAGCAAAGTTGGAATTACATAATGATTGAACAAGCAATGACAGAATGACTACATCAGGCACCTAGCAACCCTGCAGCTAGCCTGGTCGACCGCCAGCACAACTCGGTCGACCGCCTGCCAGCGTTGCGTAGAGGGGCCGCGCCAGCACTGCGGAAAGGCGACCTGCCAACAGAGCAGGTCGACGGCGTGCCAACGCTGCAGCGGAGCGGCTGTCCAGCGTTGCCCCGTAGAACACAGCAATGCGCACGCTCGCAGGTGCGCGCAGACGATTGGCCCGACTTGCCTCGTTGGGCATCCGTCGGCTGTTGTCTGCGCCTGACGAGCCACATCGACTTCGGGATACCAGCCCGCAGTCGCCTTCGCCATCGCGACCTCGACGACGTTCGCGTGCCTTCGCAGAACTCGTCGAGCAGGTTACCCGGTCGACCCGGTCGACCACCAGGTGCTTCCGGTCGACCACCACTGCTTCTGGTCGACCACCAGGTCCCTCTGGTCGACCACCAAGTGCCTCTGGTCGACCACAACTCCCGTCGAGCTACCCCCTGGTCGACGGACCCCTTCCGACTGCTCCGTCGACCTCCCGGTCGAACTGCAGGTCGACGGGATGCTCCGGAGACCTCCCGGTCGAGCAGCAGGTCGACGGGATGCTCCGGAGACCTCCCGGTCGAACGGCAGGTCGACGGGATGCTCCGGAGACCTCCCGGTCGAACGGCAGGTCGACGGGATGCTCCGGAGACCTCCAGGTCGAACTGCAGGTCCTGGTCGTACTCCCCCCCGTCGCCCAGACCAGTCAGTTGCAGCTATCGAGCTCCCTGGTCGACAGCAACACCACAGCGGTCCCCTGCAGCTCGACGAAGCCTGTCGAGCAGCTCTCCCACTGTGAACGGTCGGCTGCTACTCCCGTACATCCGACCAAGTCGTCGGCGTTGCCCAAGCGAGGGCGGGGCCAACACTCCACTCCCGTTAACACTCCCCTGCCGCGCTCACGCTTGGGCCTCCAGCCCACACGGCAGTACTTCACGGAGAAAACTCGTCCTCGGCGTGCACCCCACACACAGCACGCCGTCACCGCACCAGCCGTGCAGAAGGGCACGGCACCTACTGCTGCACCTCGTCGTCGCCGTCGCCGACGTCGGCCAGACGAACTTGGCCGATGGCGACCAAGCACCGGTTGAAAGCCGGAAAATGCAGCGCCTTCGTCAGGAAGTCCGCCGGCTGCTCGGTGGTCGGGATGTACTTCAGCACGAATTTCCCGCGCCTAACCATGTGCTGCAGCCAGGCGTAACATCGCTCCATGTGCTTGAGGTTGCCCGTCAACCCCAAGCCCTCAGCGACCGTGATTGCCGACTTGTTGTCGACGCGGAGGATGGTCGGCTTCCCAGCGTCGAGCAGCTTGAATTCCGCAAGGAGGAAGCGAAGTCGACGCCCCTCCTTGCCGGCATCCGTGGCCGCCACATACTCCGACTCGGTCGATGACAATGTCGCGCACTTGATGCGCGAGCTCGACCAGGAGACGGCGGCCCCTCCGTAGACGAACACGTAGCCTCCCGTACTCGTCCGGTTCTGCTTGTCGCCCGCGTCGTCGGCATCGACGTAGCCGATCAGCTCCAACGATTCTGGTCCACCGCCGAACTCCAGGGCGGTGTCGCGGGTGTTGGCGAGGTAGGCGAGGCAGCGGTCGACCTCGCGCCAATGCTGGTCGCTCCTCACCGTGAGGCCGCTCCCCAGCTTGCTGCAGGCGAACGCAATGTCCGGCCTCGTCGTCGTCGCCGCGAACTGCAGCGAGCCGACCTTCTGCCTGTACTCCTCCTCTTCGCGCTCCTGAGCCTCCTCGTCGTCGAACGTCAGCTGAGCGTAGGCGTCGACCGAGACCGGCGTCTTCAGGACTCGACCGCCCTGCTCCTCGTCGATGAAGCGCCTGCGCAGGTTGTCGGTGTAGCCCTGCTGGTGCAGCCACAGCTTCCTGGCCGGCCTGTCGCGCAAGATCTCCAGCCCAAGGTACTTCACCACCGGTGAGATCTCACGCAGCTCGAAGGCGGCCTCCAGCAGCTCCTTCAGCTCCTTTAGCATCGCGGTGCTGCTGCTGGCAGCGAGCAAGTCGTCGACGTAGACCAGCACCCAGCAGGTCACCCCGTCGTCGGCGGCCTTGAAGTAGAGCGCCTCGTCGACCTGGCTCTTCTTCCAGCCAGCGCCCAGCAGCACACTGTCGAGAGCCCTGTACCACAGCAGCGGCGACTGCTTCAGCCCGTAGAGGCTCTTCAGCAGCTTAGATACCCGGCCTGTCCCGTCGTCGAAGTAGTCCGGCTAGTACATGTAGAGCACCCTGTCGAGCTTGCTCTGCAAGAAAGCGTTCTTCATGTCGAGCTGCATCAGGTTGAGGTCGAGGACGGCGACGATGCTGAGGAAGATCCTCAGCGTGACGTAGCTGCTCACCAGCGAGTACGTCTCGTCGTAGTCGGCACCGTACACCTGCGTGAAGCCCTTCACGACCAGCCTCGCCTTCTCGCGCTCGACGGTGTCGTCGATGCGGTACTTGGTCGTCGGCACCCACCGGTTCTTCATGATGTTCACCCCGCGTGGGCGTTCGACCAGCTCCCAAGTCCCCATACCGATGAGGCTGCGGATCTCTTCTTCCATGGCGGCCTTCACCGCCTTGCCCTTCCAGCTCGACAGCGCCTCCTTCACCGTCATCGTGGCGATGTCCCAGCGGTGTTCGGGGTCGGCATGTGTCAGAGTTATATGACATAGCTACTGTAGGCTATAGTGGGGTAGCACATATGGGGTACAGTTGCCTAGGGTTTGCCTTTTTGTACCCAACTTTCACTTAGTCATTTCATTCCTGTTTTCTTGATTCACATGGTATAGAGCGGGTTCCTACATGGGACCGTTCCTTCCTAAGGGCCCACCATAAGAATTTTTTTTTTTAGCTGCCCGCGCACATTGCGCCCTGCCCTAAAATTTTTTTTTTTTAGCGGCCCCTACGCTGCCCCTACGCGGCCCCTACGCCGCCTCTCACGCGCCCCCCCTATGCGGCCCCTGGCGACGCCCTGACGAGGCCCCTGCCGGCGCCCTATCGCGGCCCCTGACGCGCCCCCTGGTGGCGCCCTGACGCGGCCCTGACGCGGCCTGACGCGGCCCCTGGCGGCGCCCTGACGCGGCCCCTGCCGCGGCCCTGACGCGGCCCTGCCGCGGCCCCTGACGCGGCCCTGACGCGGCCTGCCGCGGCCCCTGCCGCGGCCCTGGCGGCCCCTGACGCGGCCCTGACGCGGCTCTGCCGCGGCCCTGACGCGGCCCTGACGCGGCCCTGCCGCGGCCCCTGGCGGCGCCCTGACGCGGCCCCCTGACGCGGCGCCCTGACGCGGCCCCTGCCGCGGCCCTGACGCGGCCCTGCCGCGGCCCCTGACGCGGCCCTGACGCGGCCTGCTGCGGCCCCTGCCGCGGCCCTGAAGCGGCCCCTGACGCAGCCCTGACGCGGCTCTGCCGCGGCCCTGACGCGGCCCTGACGCGGCCCCTGACGCGGCCCCTGCCGCGGCCCCTTACGCGGCCCTGACGCGGCCCTGCCGCGGCCCCTGGCGGCGCCCTGACGCGGCCCCTGACGCGGCGCCCTGACGCGGCCCTGCCGCGGCCCCTGACGCGGCCCCTGCCGCGGCCCCTGACGCGGCCCCTGACGCGGCCCCTGTCGCGGCCCC